TGGGGAGCTGGCTTTTAACATGACGTCATTTTTCTTTATCAAACAAATGATGACTATGTTCAAATCTTGATTTGCTTGTAAAATCCGATGACCTTGAATAACTCTTCATCATAAATTCAGGCAATCTAGCTGTAAATTGGTGTGGATAATCAGGGAATGATCAATGCCAAGAGTTTAGTCAAGGACCAGCTGGTAGAAAGGATATTTAATTGTGAGTCTTGTTATTGTTATCCTTGTAAAATACAGTTGTTTCTTTCTGGACTCAAAATACATAATTTCTAGACAATATTGCAATATACAGTTGATGTACCCCTTTAAATCTGAAGTTGATTAAGTTCAATCAAATGTCAATTTATAATTTATATCTTAAAATCACTTTTCATATATAAATTATAACCCTTTAATCTCTTATTTTATACCTAAAATAATGATAATCTATCATTTTAACAAGTATACAGGTTCAAAAGTTTATATCTTTATAAGTGAGTGATGAGAAATGGAGTTTTACACCCTACTATTTCAATGAAGGTGACAATTTGTCAAGTTAGTGCCATAAGAAAAAATTAGTCTGAATAATTATATATTGATTTAACAAGGGTGTGACAGTCAGACCATCTTGAGCACATTTTCTCCTTTGTTCTCCACAATCAATTTGATCAATCAGCAATCAAGTAACATATCACAAGGCAGTAAGGAAAAGCTATTGGACTTTGCATCGTAAGAATCACTTTCATTTTATAATTTGCAAAAATGATTTCCATTGGTTACAAACTGAATCCTTAACCAATTAAAATTAGTGACAAGAATATAGCCCTCTTGTATCAAAGGCTAAATTTTATTTCATGGACACATGATGAGACAATCTAAGAGAAATCAAAATATCCCAACTTTTTAGATTTTTATTGATTGATGTTCCTTAATGGTAAACGACACCTACTTCAGATTTTGAATCTAAAAAGTGTTACTATTGATCAGCTGAATCAGAATCGACTGAGTCAATAATCATACATTACAAATACTATGATACACATGGTTAAAGAAATGCAGGTTTGAACGTCAAAATCTATTTTCATTATGCAGTATATAGACTCCACCCTGTTAAACCTTGAACTATTCAAATTCTATTCAATCATGATTTAAGTTATTTCTATTCAAGCATAACATAACATTATTAGTTACTGCAATTCAATCATATAACATTACTAGTTACTGTAATTCAATCATAACATTACTAGTTACTGTAATTCAATCATATAACATTACTAGTTACTGTAATTCAATCATAACATTACTAGTAACTGTAATTCAATCATAACATTACTAGTTACTGTTATTCAATCATAAACATTACTAGTTACTGTAATTCAATCATAAACATTACTTGTTACATTATTCCATCATAACATTACTAGTTACTGTTATTCAATCATAACATTACTATTTACTGTAGTTCAATCATAACATTACTAGTTACTGTAATTCAATCATAACATTACTATTTACTGTTATTCAATCATAACATTACTATTTACTGTAATTCAATCATAACATTACTATTTTCTGTTATTCAATCATAACATTACTAGTTACTGTAATTCAATCATAACATTACTAGTTACTGTAATTCAATCTTAACATTACTAGTTACTGTAATTCAATCATAACATTACTAGTTACTGTTATTCAATCATAACATTACTAGTTACTGTAATTCAATCATAACATTACTAGTTACTGTTATTCAATCAATAACATTACTAGTTACTGTAATTTAATCATAACATTACTAGTTACTGTAATTCAATCAATAACATTAATATTTATTTGAGAATAAATTATTGTTTCCACAATTATATTTTTTATTAAGATTGTTCTCCCTAGTGTAATGCATTTAATCTCACCATTCAAAAGTTAAATAAAAAAAAAAACAGGGTAAAAAAAAAAGAAACAAAAATATTTTTCTGAAATAAGTTGGATGACTAAGTTTAAACTTCAAGAAAGCTACATTAACTTTCAATGCCATTAATCTCAAATCCACCCACACTATTAATAATATCATCAAACCAAACTTGATGTTGGGAACTCAAACAATAATTAGAATAATTTGGTTGAAGAAGTTCTCAATATTTGACTAGGGTGATGTTTAGAACTCACCTGTCCTGACCTAACCTAAATACAGGTAAAATTCTTTACAAACTATATAAGATAACACACCTTTGAGTAGGATGATATATTTTGGTTTGACAATTGCATATGACGTCACAAGTAACATCAGTCTAATAATATATATTGCTATCACACTAAGGTGCAAAACGCCTTTGTTGTCAAGTTTTTGACCTGCCTGGAGCCCTGTTGTCTTACATACCAATGATTCACATTGTTGAAAGTAATTAATTTACATTTAAATTCAGGGTTTAATTATTAATCAACATTTCCATGCCAGCAAAACATAAGTTTTTTTAAATTAATCAATAACCAGTTGGTTCTTGAAAAAAGTTTCTTTTATTGAATTTCTACCTGTAATTTCTTTTTCTAAGAATTTGTCACACCTGTGAAAATTTCTGAGTCTATAAAATTAAATCTATTCCATAAATAAGAGAGTACCGGTACATTGTAAAAATTAAACATGTAAATTGTCTGTCAGTAGATTATGATTTCAGATTCAGAAAAAGAAAATATGTATTCATTTCTGTACCTTTCAACAACTATAATATTTTTTTTCCAAGTTTTTTCCCAAATAAAAACTTTTTAGCAAACTCAAAATGCTACTCATGCTGTTAGGTAAAATATATCCTATAACAATTGTGGCAGTCATGGACACAACTTTTCATATTTCCATTCTCAATTGAGAGTCTCAACTTGAGACAGTAGTTTCATTGTAGGAAATTGTAAAAATTAACCCTAAAGTGTTACTAATAATTTGAAAATCAAATACATTTTCGAAAATAGTCCTATAACTTAATAACCTAAATCTAAATCTTAAATTTTTGAATGTGTTTGTACTACATTTAAGATAAGCGCATGCATCATCTTAATGTTTACTTGTACACATGACATTCAGGCTTGACTCTTTAAAAAAAGAAAGTAAAAATAGTCTACCTTTAATTACATCCATGGACCCAATGTATCCTGGTGTCCTCACTTAACCTTTTACTACGTCATAACATAGGATTATCCTTATCCTTAATGACATACCCTACACAAATATCCATTATTAACACTAACTAATCCATAAGTTATATATCAACATTAATCCAGTTTAACACTACAGCCAAGACAACACTTATCATTTAAAGTCTTGGTCATATAGTTTCAGTTGGCCACACATGGTTTCATTGTTGATAAATAGTTCAAATTTACATATCAATAATCACATAAGTACTACCATACGCATAGTAACTACAATCTTACAATCTTTAGTTAGACAGTTTCTTTATACATTTATTCAGGTTTATAAGAAGGTGTAAGGTTATTTATTCATTCATTCATTCATTGGATGTTTGTTTATGTATTTATAAAAGTTTTGATCTTTTACTTTTAAAGGTAGTGTACAGTATATGTGAAATCATTGTAAAGTCATGGTAATACATAAATTTCTTTACTTCGTCTAAGTCTAATATGGATTTTTTTTCCTTATTGAAATCATTATATACTAGCCAAGCGGTTTTCGTCCTGTTTTTGTATGCGTCCCCGAATCGAATCAGCATGAAAATGATGTCCCCAAAAATTGAAAGTATATCTATGATTGGATACCAGGTACGTTCTCACATAGTTTGATAGTAATAAATCTCTAGACTTCTAGACAATGTTAATTTAGGCTGTGTATAGTGTAGTCATCATATGAGATGTTATATATTGTAGTTGGATAGTTTTTATTTTTCACAGCATGAGACACATCAAATGTCCCCAAAGAAAAGTGCAAATGCCCCTGCCTGACCAGTGACCATTTCATCATATCACATTAGTATAGGTTGTCGAGCAAAGAAATTACATGAAGATCAATTGTTGAGAAATGGAAGAGACTGTAGCTCAAACAGATAAAGTGTTTAAATTCTTATGACATCATCTTCCTATTTTCCCAGTAGGACCCTGTTTTACAATCTGACAACACAACAAATTTCAGAGCAAAAGCATTGATTTTCAAATGGCGGTAAAATTTCCAGAATAAGGTTGTATATTACTTCAAGGCAACCATGACCATCACATAGTTCCCAACCTGGAGTGTTTTCACCCCCTGGGGGTGTGGGACTAGGGTGTCAGGGGCACCTCACATCATCGCATGCTGCAAATAAGGATGAAACAAATTTTTGAGGGTGTGAAAGATCCAGGTGATTGCTCCAGGGGTGTGAAGGCTGAAAAAAGTTGGGAACCACTGTCACAGTACCTTCACTAATTAAATAAATACCAATAGGGTGTCACAGTGGTATGATAAAAGTTCAATATAATTTTCACAGTAATAAAACCAATTAGGAGAAAATACTGACACCTTTCCTCTAAATAATGCTAAATACCCTATACTATCTTCAACTTAAATTTTGTCTAAAGCTATTTTCTTAGTTTCCTGTTCACACAATTTGTGTAGAAATATTTGACAATGGAGGGAGAGACTGGTGAGGGGGGGTGGGGACCTTCCGAATGTTAGTTAGAGAAGTACTTATCATTATGATAGTCAATTCAACATAAACAAATTTATCAGTGGCCATCTTAGATCTCTTGTACTTCTAGTCAGTGAAAATCCAGTATCTTTAATTAAGAAAAATAAATACAAGGGCAGAAGTGACCACAGTTTTTTCATTTGTGAGATTCTCAAAAGCATCTTTTTATGATTGTAAGCCTTATCATCTCCAAAAACACCCATTTTGATAACAACTCAATGATTTGCAATCTGGAATGACTGCACTGGATCCTATATTGAGTAGATGCAGATGCAGATGTGACTATGATATACCACTATACTGTAATGTTAGATAAAATAATTATAATAATGACTAAAAACCTACCTGGTATATTATTAATAATACCTTCCATTAGTATGTTCTTCAATTCAGACATATTTTGAAATAAGATCAGAGATTCCACACATTAATTTCCATTTGCATCAGAATGGTCAAATTACTAACATCATTAATTCAACATGGTTTTTGATGTGTCTTCTGTACAATTCACTAAAACTTCCAAAATTCTACCAAAACTGATATATTGCTCCTATATATTGTTAAGAGTTCCTATATCCAGCAGTAATGCTGCAAGACTTTAAACTCCCAGAATTCAAAATATTGAACACCAATATTTTATTTGAACGTCTGCTTGAACGTCTCAACTTTGGAAGGAACAAATTTTATGATTCACTACACTATCCAATTGAAAACTGCACATTACCCATGGTAAAAGTCTAATGCATGAATACACTCAATTAAGTATGCAACACTAACTATAACATGAATCCTCTCAAATTTGAACTTTTCACATAAAACTTGGTAAAATTGATAGTTGAATAAGCCTGGAGGATGGTACATAATCTATCATAATGACAGTCAGGCAAACCAATAAAAAAATAATCATTTATTTGCCTTGAAGGTCCAATTGAATGTATTAGACTGGTGTTTGATTGAAGGATTTATTTTATTTAATGGCCTATGATTGAGCATGAAACATGAAAATCTTCTTGAAAAATTAGTCAAAAGTCAAAAAATAATGTATTCAATTTAGAGTGGTAGACTATTACACCTTGTACCACCTCTTATCTTTGACAAAATTTCACTGTTATTTATAGATTCCACCTAAAGAGATTGAAATTTTAAAGGGACAGTTAGGCCATTTTTTTTCACCAATCATACTTTCGTCTCAGAAATGGAATTTTTTTTATCTGCGTTTGAATGTTAAAATAACGACACATCAATTTAAGATACTCTGTGATATATAAAAAAAGACCTATGTAGAAATAGTGAGTAAAATTCCTAGTTTGAAAATTAAGTTTAAAATTTTAGTAGCTCTATGGCTCAATGAAAAACAGAAAAAAAATTCAATTTTCAACTTGTTTTATCTGGGGTCTTGAACCATCACATTCATGTCCCCGAAAGAATTTTGCTTATTTGTTTTTTGTTTTGTTTTTTTTAAATATTTTTTTGAAGATGATATTTAACGATAACATTTTTAAGTCATGGCATGATTTGGGATTTAACTGGTACAGTCTCTTTAAATCATGTAAAGAAAAGTGCACTAAATTAAAATTCAAGTAGAAATTGAAATGTTCTGTTATGTTAATGTGTCAATATTTGAAATTCACTGTCACCAACTGATTCAAGTTCCAAGTACACTTAAAGTCACTGTAAGAGGATACATGAGAGGATACATGAGAGAATACATGAGATGAGAATGCAGCAGTCTGATTAAAATGCAAATATTTTGTGTTCAGAAGGTTCCCGTCGGTTGCCTGAGCCGTTAAATTTTTTTACTAGAACATGCCATCACTAATTGCAAATACTCAAGCCAAATAACTTAAACAATAATGACATTAAAATCTATTCAAGTTTATTTGGAATTACAGAAGCCAACCAAAATCTGAATTTTGAAAAGTGCCACTTATGCACATTAAAAACAATATGAATCTCTTGAAAAAGATTTCATGTATTATTTGCAATTAAGTCCCACTAATAATCATATTTTTGCCTAGATTTTGAACACATCAAAAATCTTATCAGAAAATCAAGATGAGATTAATTTTGCGTGTTTTTTTGATGAGGAAAAACTTTGGTTGAAACAAGATGTCCAGAGTATTTACATTGCAAAATCACAATTAAAGGGAGATAACAAAATTATCCCCTCAATCCAAAACTCAGACCAACATAAACTTTCCAGATAGGCCTTCTATGAAATCGTACTTAAAATGATCTAATAATATAGAATACAAATTCTTAATAGTTTTTATAATTCAGTAAGTTAAGGAAACACAATCTTATGGTAGTTTTCTTTGAGTACGTTCACACTTGACCGGCATTTATAAAAATTTCAGGTCCATGCTGACTCAACAAACACAAAAAAAAAAGTTTTTAACTTTTATTTTCATAAAATAATAACACGCCTTACACGGGTTCTATAGGTATAAGGCTTTATATTGTTGAATGATAAGCCTGAAATACATTGTTATATCATATAAATATTTACAATAAAACCATTGTCACCGATCACTTACCTGTCAAAACTTTGATAATTGTTCACTAACTTTTGCTTTTCATAGCTTCTCGTGAGGAAAACCATGGCGGGTTCATCGAGGTCAAGGTTGACTTTGAAGGTGAAGGTCGCTGACAGGGTTTGTGCTTAAAGCAATGTTTTTTCCACATTTTTTATAATATCTTCTTTCTGTCTCCGTATTTTTCTTAAATTTTTAACTAAATTTATTCCTGAAGGCCTTAGTTTCACGACTGTCATGAATTTATTTCCATTGCATTGATGTAAAATGCTTAATTTTGGATGTTTTGTAGCCTGAGCCGGTATTGTAGAAATGCAGAGTGGTTGAAAAAAACATAACAAACTCAACTGAAGTGGCAAATGGTGTTAATTTCGAAATTGCAACACTTTCTAGCCAGACAAGTTCCATTACTATTTTATTTAGCATCATCTAGAAGTTTAATGGCGTGGAGATCAAGTGGTAGCAGCAATGAGAATCTCATTGACAATCTTCATAGTAAGTTTACCATGGTTTTGTCAGAAGATTCAAGAAGTCTACAAGATGCGGGAACTGAGATTACGTTTGGTTTGTGCTATGTTTTGGTTCATGAAGTTATCAATGGAAGAGTGTTTCAATGTTTCATGTTAGACTATCTACAAAATGATTTTTCCAGTTTCTTAATCCTTTCACATGACTATTTTTTTGTGAACCTCATAGAAATTCAAATTAGAGTCATCAGTTTAATGCAGTATTGAAAAACTTAAGTATGGTGAAAAAAATTATTCAACTATGGATTTTTCTTTGACATGTGCTTGTTATTTAGGAAATAATATTTTGTTTTTGTAGCAAATGGAATTATAAAGAATTTAAGAGTTGTTGAAACTATGAAAAGTGTAGACAGAGCACATTTCTGTAAACAGAATAGTTATACTGATGCTCCTCAAGGAATAGGTTATTCTGTTACAATTAGTGCACCTCATATGGTCAGTTGATTTTATTTTGCATTGTGTAATTTTATTGATAATCAGAATATGAGTTGAGACAAATTATGAATGCCTTTGTTAACAATTTCTATGAAAATGAATTAAAATTCTTTGAAAAGAGCATCTTCTTCACAAATAATATGAGGTATTTATCAACCTCGACTAACTCACACATTAATTCCCGATGAAGAGCCAAGAAATTTTATGAGAAATCTCAGTGCAGCAAGTCCTACTTTTTTTTACGTCTGCTGTAAAAATGCAGCAAACTATGGAGTGTACCATGAGGGAAATTTTGTCAGGTACTTGACTACAGAATCCTTAAGCCTGCATCACTAATAGGGAAAATCCAGAGGTTGAAAAAATACCCGACCCACAGCTTAACAGACCTAGTCAATCTAAATTATGTGTTTTTTTGTTGTTTCAGCATGCCCATGCTCTAGAGTTATTAAGTGAACATTTAAAAGAAGGAAATAAAGCATTAGATGTTGGTTCTGGAAGTGGTTATCTCACCGCCTGTATGGCTTTAATGGTAAGATTACTTTATAGATGGAGGACAACTTGGTTAATGTTGAGATTCCAAATGTGAATGCAGCAAGGATATGAGGGGTTCTCACCATAAAAAAATTGGAAAAAAATTGCATTGATTTGTTGCGTTCCCTCACATATTTTGGGAAAGGTTATGATGTTACATGACCTAAGGTTATAAAAGACATTTTTTCAATTTTGTTAGAAATGAAGTAGGTGTATTAAGGCCTCTCTGTTCCCCCACTGGTGCAAAAAAAAGTTGTAATATTAATAAATGTCCTTTCCATTGAAGAATATAAATTGATTCACCAATCATTTGATTATAATTTCAGGTTGGTGCTAAGGGTAAAGCAGTAGGTATTGATCATATAGATGAGTTAGTGGAAGGATCTCTAACTAATGTTCAGAAAGATCCTAAACTTGGTAAATTATTAGATAGAGGACAGTTAATGTTTGTTGTAGGTGATGGTAGACAGGGATTTGAACCCGAAGCACCTTATGATGCCATTCATGTTGGTGCTGCGGCCCCTACCTTACCTGAAAAGGTTTGTTTATTACTGTTTATCTATAATCTCTGTAATTGTAGGAGCAGGTTCTCCAAATATTATATCTTTGACTGTTTAACATTCAGACAAAATTGTGTAGAATTGTGTTGAATTTCTCAGGTTTTTCAATTTTTGTCTATTTTGTAAATCATGCTTGGTTTTCCATAACTGTCAATCAAAATTACTTTCTGCTGCTGAATAGGGTATTAACATTAACTTTGACAGCAGGCAGTGTGCAACAAAAGGAATCCTGCCATTGCATTGGAATAAGCTTGGTATTTTTTGGATGTCTTCAACAGGTTTAACTAACCTGTAGATTCACATATTAGGGATGGTGTAAAACAGTCCTTTATTTATATGAAATTGCTGGAAGTAGCCTTTTATGATTTCAGCTAGTTGAACAGTTAAAACCTGGTGGTAGATTAATTATACCAGTAGGAAATCAGGGTGAAAATCAAAAACTATTACAAGTAGACAAACTAGCGAGTGGAGAAGTGGTGAAGAAAAATCTAATGGGTGTAATATACGTGCCTCTTACGAGTAAAGATAAACAAGTTCCAAGGTGGAGATAACTTTTACAATATTAGCATGATTGGGCATGTAGGATTACTTCCCTTTTCTTTATTAATTGAAGTATTTCCATGTGTTTCTGTAATGGAAACATTACTAAGACAATTATTTACACTGATCAATATTTTAAAGGGATTGTAAAAAGGTTTTCAGATTTTTTTATGTGTATCGGGGACAGTGATATCATCAAATTGCACCATTCCAATTTTCAATCAGACATCTATGGTTCCTGCAATTCCACTGAAACTAAGTGTTTGATGATGTCACTTATCGCAAAATATGCATTATCACATAAGGTCATTCAAACACTTAATATATTGGAATTGCAGGAACCAATTGTCAATGATTTTTTTTTCAGCATCAAATTAATTATTTATATGCTTAGTCAGCACACTCTTGTTGACTTTTCATCACAACTGAAGCACCTCTTTCAAAGCGGTTTTGAATAAGTGAAGAGATCACTCTGGCGTTGAGTTGTCATGGACTATCATATGCTGGCTAATTGTTTCTACAAAATATATTATTGGTGTCCAAAATAACCAGTTCATGATGCACATGCTTTAAAGATGAGAATAAGATATTTTTTTCCAAGATATTTTATCAAAACTCATTTCTTTCATTGTAGGAGAAAGGTAGATTTATAAAGAAGTTTAGACAAAAGATATGTTGTAATTTGACCTGCTTCCTTATCCTTCTGTGATTCAATTCTGCATTCTGCTTTAATCAGAGACTTTTTACGATAGCTATATTTTATGAGCCACTCTCGTTGTTGCTAGGATTTTGGTCACACACGTGCTTGTAATTATTTCCAAATGTGATGTCGCATCCTAGAGGTCACTTGCTTTGGGAGTAATGACCTCACAATGCTACACTCATTGTGTTTATAGTCAAGCTGAGATAATTGTACCCATCCAAGGTCAATCTCAGACATAAATATAAGCAGTTTATTAGAATCTCTGCAAGCCATTCCTCTTATATGTCTACGCAATTGTAACAGTGGATTGTCGGTGATGATATTTTTTATTATTCTTAAATGTGTAATTCTTTCTTCACTTATTACAATTGAAGGCAAATGCTTATATTATGCCTTGATGAGAAGAGGGGCGAGAGGATGGAATGTTTTCAGCAAAAATCACTTTTGTGACAAAGATATGCCCAAATACAGAAGTACTGGAAATATTAGAAAGGATATCAGTGGAAATATAAGTTTGAAATGATATTACTATAATGACAGCCAGTGATATTAGACATTGTGCCATATTAGGGCTTGTTTTTGAATTGTACAGTGTTGATCTTGTGGCTTACTAGGTTAACAAAGAATATTTGTGTAGTTAACTTATTAGTAGTTCAACCAAACTTGTAATTGAATGAAGTCATTAAAGGGACAGATGCCCCATTTTGGGGGGTTGATTTGAGTCTTGAAAATATGTCAATAATCTTCAGAAGTAATTGCATAATTCCTTCAAAGATATCTCAAACTAGGAATTTTACTCACTATTTCCATATATCACAGAGTATCTTAAATTGACAAATCATCATTTTAACATTCAAACACTGATAATTCTGGACACACATGGATATGAAGGCTCAAATTACATCCGTGAGCTGTTTCTGAGACTAAAGTATGATTGGCCAAAGAGAATGGTGCACCTGTCCCTGTAGATGGAGACTGAATTCTCTGTTATATTTTATCATAAATGATATCTTACGAAATACAATAGCCCTGATTTAAAATTCATATTTTAAACTCATTCAGAGAACATTAAAACATATTTTACTGCATATTAGTTCTTGTTTTCGCTTAATGTTGAATTTTGTAAGACATGCATCATTTCAAATCTTTGAGCATACTCTTTGCCCTTACTGTTGCCAAAGTGTTGTAGCTTAATAGGTTGTGAAGCTATTTTGTGTTTCCTGGAACTAGGGCTAGTTTTGCAATACTCTTATGAAAAATGTAAGATCAAATTTATTGATCATGGAATTAGGTTTGTCTACAATTACTTGTAAAACAATCAGTTTTAGGCCTACAGTCTTATTTTAATAAGTCCCAAAGTTCTGGAAAATCATGATTATATTTAAATGAGTTTTATCATCTGGGTTTTGAAAGTTAGAATCAATATTCTAAGTTAAACTATCTGAAGTCACAAAGATTTTGATAATATGACATTATGTTATTGATAAAGCTTAAAATGTTAACTATTTATGTAAATAAATTGTTTCAATAAAATTAGAAAGCTTTCTAAAGGGTTTTTATTTTTCTCCTTGCAAATCTACCTTGAAGGTTTTTAATTTACCTCAATGACAGTCAATGATTTTTGCTTAAAATCATTACCATACATTACCATAGTAAGCACAGTGCTCAAATGCTCTAATTTGTGACTAGATGCTAACCAACACTGACCAGTGCACGACGGCTGGGTCATTTCAGAAGTTGCTCAAACCAGGCACCAATATAACATATTCTTTAATGCCACTTTATATGTGCAGGCTTCAAGCAAGAAACAAACACAGGCACATGACTGAAAGACTCTTAAATCTAAAACCTCAACCTAATTTTTCACCTTTTAGTTTTTACTCCTTTCAAAGCGCCTGAAAGTAAAGACATCTTCACATGCCTACCTTGATGATTGTCATTCATTAAACTAAATTAAAGAAAACAAAGATAAATTCATTAGAGGGTATGTAATTGTACGGAATTTGAAAGTGGTCTTGGTGGTATCATTCGAGATTTTTGAATTGCGGAATCCTGATTGCTTCTGTTCTAGCGTTCAGTTCTGAACTAGATTTCGAACACACCAAAACAGAATCGAATGGACCCTGTGATGTGATCACGTGATGTTCAAAATGGTGGCTTATTGGTAAACAAACATGAATAAAGTGGAACAACTTTCAACGCGGGTAATCCGTGTGTTAGGGTGTAATCCATCGCCTCTTACTCTTCAAGGTACCAACTCCTACCTTGTTGGTACAGGATCAAAGTAAGCAAACTATGATACTAGGCCTGGCATGGTTGACAATGACACACACTAGGCGCATATCACTATAGCCATATTTTATAAGCCTACTGCAGACGTCCGTCTCTATTTTAATTCTGTGAAGATGCAGAGAGAAGCAAACTCTTATGTTCATCCTTATTCTAACAATATGTGAGCTATTGTGAGGTAGATTACCTACACCATGTTAGTTTTCAAAATCAAAGCTTGGACATTGTGTTGCAGATAGCCTAATTAGATTGTCAACAAGGCATATTGAGGGTACCAGTACTCATATTTTTAATTATGTTAATTGTATTCATTGCAGAAGAATTCTGATAGACACAAGTCACCCAGAGAAACCTGAATATATCAGTTTATTAAAGTCAACATTAGATATACACCAATGTTCAATACAAGAAATTATTGTTACACATTTTCACCCTGATCATACTGGTTCTGTAACAGACGTCTGTAGACACATCATTAATGATAAAGGTACGAAATGTATAAATGAATATTCTGTATTCGTTATCACTATGCCTGTGGTGTGTAGTAAATTTCTAAAGTGTAAGTTTACTAGTTAGAACAATTTCAGAACTGATTCATTTGTTCAAGATTATGCTTAATAAAATATGCAGCTTCATGCAGTATCCTATATTTGAAAACCTGGCCCTCAGTTTTCTATTTGTAAGTGTGGCAGGACTTCAAACATATATAGTCAGCTGCAAACAAGGCCTTGGTTTACTGTCCAATCTAAAATCCACACTTTTTCGTTATGAACCCTTGACCAGAATGGATTGTGAAAATGTATGTTGTAGAATCATTTCCACATATACTGGGATTGAATCCTTTCTTCGGGTTAACTTGCTAAAATAGTCTATTGCTCTACTTTTATTCTGTGATTTTAGATGGTCGAATAAAAGTGTCGAAAATAAAGAGATTAAATGGAGAAGAGGTGGATATTAAACAAAATTATACTTTCATTGAAGATAATCATCCTTTTAAGACTGAAGGTGCTGGTCTAAGGTAAATACAGTCAAACTTGTATTGAGCATGCAGTCAAGAGAATGCTAAAAATGGCTGCATACTACAGGATGATGCATGGGTTGGTGCAAGCAGTTAAGAATAACTAGTTGATATTTTGTTACTACAAAAGCGCTTATGATCTATTCTAGAGCTGTATATGATCTATCAAGAGCTGTATATAATCTATTTTAGAACTGTTTATAATCTATTCTAGAACTGTATATAATCTATTCCAGAGCTGTATGTATAATCTATTCTAGAGCTGTATCTATAATCTATTCTAGAGCTGTGTATAATCTATTCTCTAGCTGTATATAATCTATTCTAGAGCTGTGTATAATCTATTCTAGAGCTGTATATAATCTATTCGAAAGCTGTATATAATCTATTCTAAAGCTTGCCATTGTGATAATAATCTACTGGTATATTTAATATAATCTATTCTAGAGCTGTATATAATCTATTCTAGAGCTGTATAAAATCTATTATACATCTGTACATAATCTATTCTAGAGCTGTATATAATCTATTAGAGAGCTGTATATAATCTATTAGAGAGCTGTATATAATCTTTTCTAGAGCTGTATATAATCTATTCTAGAGCTGTATGTAATCTATTCTAGAGCTGTATATAATCCTGGCCACTGTGATGATCATCTAGTAGTATATTTAGAAGAAGAACAAGCTGTTTTTACTGGTGATACTGTTCTTAATGGGACCTCAACTGTAAGCTTTATGATGTTGTATTATATATATGACAGTTTTTGTCATTGTAAAGATTTAATCTAATTATGTGTCCCCAACAGATTTGATATGATGAACTCAAAATTATCTGGTTGCAGAGAATATTTTCCCTAACGACCCCAACTTTCAAGTTACCTCTTTCTTGAAATTACCAATTGCATTGTCTCAAATTCTTCTGAGCGAGGCGTTTATTGTTCGTTTTTCCATCAATTCTTCTACATCGAGCTCAATAACGAAAGGGATTCGTGTTAAATGAATTGTATAGAAGTTTTCTCAACACAGATAATATCACAGATATGCACCACTCCAATATTCTTGTTAATTCACTAATACTGAGCATTTAAGACGTCACTATCACAAATTGGATATCACAAACCTTTCATTGTAGACTGTAAGAGATTTGAAAGCTTATATGAACTCTTTAGAAAAAATATTGGATCTGAAGCCAAAGAGATTGTACCCTGCCCATGGTCCTGTGATTGATAATGCTGTAGAGAAAGTACAGGAATATATCAGCATAGGAACCAAAGAGAAACTCAGATAGTAGAATTTTTAGAAGCAAATCACCAAAGTTCATGTACCTCCCTTGATATAGTTCAAGCTGTTTATAAGGTGTGTTATTACAGAGTTATTGCCCTTGTCTGAAAAAAACGAAATGATTTTAAAAAGAAGATGGCTACTTATGTATAACATTGGAATTTCTCAAGGATCAAAACAACCAAATTTTAATGAGAAATTGGCCTCTTTAATGGGCATTTCAGGGTTTACATGAGAAATTAATAAGTTCAGCCAGAGATAATGTGATACAACATTTAATAAAACTTCAAAATGAGAACAGAATAGGTAAGTTTTGTTATTCTAAAGACATATAGGCCTTGCTCCTCACAGTAATCTATTCAAATAAGATATTATGGTCAGGCCTGTAGCCAGACTTAATTGTTCAGAGGGACAATAGTATACAGTTGCAGTAATGATTGGTGGGTTCTCAGGTTACAGGCCTAAAGTTAATAAATTTGACCTCTTGATTTACTGCAAGCTTTTACCAGTAATTTCCAGATTGGCAAATGCTGGTCAATTGAAGTTTTTCTATTCTCAAAGTTCTATGGATTTGTTGGATTCTACAATTTTCCCTCGGGAAGACATGAAATTTTGGTTAATTTTAAGACATGATTCCTTGTAATGGTTCTGTGAATTTTTTTAAATGGACTTAACATTTAACCTTTCACTTTATCTCGCACAATTATATTGTTTTTTTTTTTACAGAAAATGTTGGTGAAGATCAATGGAAATTCAAAATAAGTTGAAATCAATTTAAACAATTTTTTCATACTTGTGATATCAAAATAATATTTTAATAATCTTATTAATTTTTTAAGATAATTTTATCTAGTAGAAAAATTTAGCTGTAGAATGCCAAAAATAATTTCCTATGTAATAAATCATCACAACTAAATTGTTGTATCTTTTTCATGTCAGTCTCACCCAGCTTTATGAGGACTGTTTGAAAAGTTTTAAGCCTAACTTTGACCAACTCATATCAGGTCAATCGTTTTCATTTATTTCTCTAAATAATCCCCTCCAAATTTTACACACATTTTCCAGCAAAGTTTGTATGCAGTCATACACAAAATAAAAAATGGCGATTGCCTTATCCCTTTTAATATTGGGAAAAATTTTGAAGCCTGAAGGTCCAAATCAGGCTATAAAATCATTAAATGTTCGTACTGGTTGGTGGCAAAAGTTTGTTTCACCCGGATTGAGATGTCCGATTTGGGTTTAAAACTTTTCAGCCAACCCTCGTAACATTAAAAAATTAACACATTATGATGTAACGAGTTCATGTTTATTTAGGATTGTTAAAGAGTGATTTATAATTACAAATAATTAAAAATGTGTAATCCCAAAATTAAAAAATTTAAAATAATTTACATAGTGAGTTGAGATGCAAAGCACAATTTTTGTAAATTTATATAGAAGGATTGGTCAATATTAAAGTGATAGTAAAGAGGTTTTCTCTATTTTGTATGTGTATCAGAGACACTTCTAGCATCAATATGCACCATTCCAATTTCCAGTCAGATGTCTGTGGTTCCTGCAACTCCACTTAAACTAGGTATTCGATGATGTCACTAATCGCAAAGGGCCTAATGTGATGCAAGCATTTTTTGCAATTAAAAACAATTATTTTTTGTGGAATTGCAAGAACCACAGACGTCTGATTGTAAATTGGAATGATTCAAATTGATGCTATCAGTGTCCTCGAAGCCCAAAAAAAAAATTAGAAAACCTCTGTACAATCCCTTTAAGCTTGAGAAAAAAATATAAACACAAAAATCAGCTTTCAAGCATTAACCCTTTAAACATTGTTAGATGATCCAGGATGCTTATATTGAGGTTATATGTTGTGATAACACATGGTCACTTTCAGAGAGGTCTAATGTTTAAAGGGTTAATCGATTAATCTAAATATGATGGAGTTAACATAAGAGGCCAAAAATTCCAAGATTTGCATTTCTTTTTTCAAAATCATACCCTAAATTCTAGAAAAATATAACATTTAAAAATTACATCATTATGCCACATCAAATAAGCAAAGCATACCAATTCTACCTTATAAATAAAAGAGCTTATGTAAAATGATTTTATTTTTACTTCCAAGATCCAAATTGTAAAATAACAAACCAGATACAATTTTTGTAAAAATTATTCATTTTTAACACAAAATTCATTGGCCAAGGTTTTTCTTAAGAGGGGTGTTCTTGCAGTATATTTTCCCAAAAATTAAAAAAAAATGTATTACATGTATTATAACTGCACACGGGGATGTAGTAATGCCCTGAAAATGGCAGTCCAAACAGATACACAAAATTGCAGGAGAACGAGCCATCAAATATTCATACAACTGAAACAATTTAGAAGACTATATCTACTATCTATGCATTTCTATAATGCCACTATGCCTTCTAAATGAGCAATAAATATTTGTTAATTACAAAGCAAGTCAATATCACATCAAAACAATACAGCTATTAGACATAAAAGATGAGCAACTATGGACATTTATACAAATCGACTTTTCCAAAAAAAAATTAAACCGAAGAAGGACAATTATATTGTCAAGCACAGTTAATGTGTAAATCCAGATTCCATTCAGCACAGTTAATGTGTACATCCAGATTCCATTCTGCACAGTTAATGTGTACATCCAGATTCCATTCTGCACAGTTAATGTGTACATCCAGATTCCATTCTGCACAGTTAATGTGTACATCCAGATTCCATTCAGCACAGTTAATGTGTACATCCAGATTCCATTCTGCACAGTTAATGTGTAAATCCAGATTCCACTCAGCACAGTTAATGTGTACATCCAGATTCCATTCTGTACAGTTAATGTGTACATCCAGATTCCATTCTGCACAGTTAATGTGTACATCCAGATTCCATTCAGCACAGTTAATGTGTACATCCAGATTCCATTCAGCACAGTTAATGTGTACATCCAGATTCCATTCAGCACAATTAATGTGTACATCCAGATTCCATTCAGCACAGTTAATGTGTACATCTAGATTCCATTCAGCTGATGCATATGTGCACATCCTTACATTTTTGTTAGAAAGAGAAAAAAAAAAAAGAATGCAAAAACCTGTACTAATGCCAAAGTTTAAAATTTCACAAGTGGAGGTTTAACTGTGATTGCACATTAAAAAAAAATAATTATTTAAAATATAACATTTTGTGATGATTTACATTTATCTTTCGAGGTTTTATAAATTTTAATGATAAATATCAGCACTGAGATATGCTGTAATTTAAGTTTTATGTTCACCTTACATATATGACAAGAAAGATGGTGGAATCTCGAGTAAAATCTCTTGTGTTTCCCGAGCTTCAACAACATGATTATCACGTCAGCGTCAGGATTTTGACTCATGACAAGACATCTGTCTGCCACAAAAATTGGTGACAAAAATTATCCGTGTTCCCACAGCTTAATAGCTAAATTGACCCAATAAACACTTCATAAAAGAATACCACTATGACACTTAAAGATGGGTTTCCTCATTCTTAAGTGTCAAATATGGAAATTATTGCATTATTTGGTGTTTCTAATGAATTATCATGTATTCTTAATCAAATCATTATGTCCTTATTGCATATAATCAAGAGTTTGAACCTATCATAAATGTCCTTGTATGTACAGTCTGAATAAACAAAAAAATTCTTTTTCACCTTTCTTGATCGGTCACTCATTGGAATTCTGCTGGTAGTTTTCTTCTAACTTAGCTAATTATGAATTAATTATGGACATTTGAGACAAACTAGTATTTTTCCAAGTCATTATAACACCCATACTTTCTATTCATAAAAGTATTAGCATACTCATCTTTATAAATGAAAATAAGGGAACCCATCTTTGATACTGTAAATATAATATTAGGACTAGTGGTAGCAAATGCATATAACACTAACACTATAGCACTATTGATGTAAAATTGTGACATTTCTTTTTTGGCAGGACATCTTTATATTCCAGTTTTTCTTTGAATTTGGTGGATGAAAATAAAAAGTAGGCATCTTGCCTGGATGAACAAAATCCAGATACTAAACTTTGAAATAAATATTCTTGAAATTAACTAAAACCCTACTAAAAACACATGTAACACAAATAGCAAAGGCATTAAATACATAACACAATAACACATGAGCAATATAGAATATCATATCATTATAATACTTAGTTATAATAATTTGATATATCATATCATTATAATAATTAGAATATCATATCATTATAATAATTAGTTATAATAATGTTATATATCCTATCATTATAATAATTAGAATATCATATCATTATAATAATTAGTTATAATAATTAGAATATCATATCATTATAATAATTAGTTATAATAATTTGATATATCATATCATTATAATAATTAGAATATCATATCATAATAATAATTAGTTATAATAATTTGATATATCATATCATTATAATAATTAGAATATCATATCATTATAATAATTAGTTATAATAATTAGAATATCATATCATTATAATAATTAGTTATAATAATTTGATATATCATATCATTATAATAATTAGAATATCATATCATAATAGTAATTAATTATAATAATTTGATATATCATATCATTATAATAATTAGAATATCATATCATTATAATAATTAGTTATAATAATTTGATATATCCTATCATTATAATAATTAGAATATCATATCATTATAATAATTAGTTATAATAATTAGATGTATCATATCATTATAATAATTAGTTATAATAATAAGGATATCATGTTATTATAATGATTATAATATCATATCATAATTACAATTAGAATATCATTAGATTAAAAATATTATCTCAAAAAGTCTGGTAATGTTTAAATAGTTTTCTAAAAATCTCCAAAAAAATTTTACAATCCTTAAATACAAATCATTGCACAAAATGTGTGTTTTCTACATTTTAAGCTTACATAAAGCAAAAAACTAAATATATCACATAATCATTTACATATAAAATTCATTGTGTTATTGTGTGAAATACACTATTTCAATATATTATTAGGTTTCAGTAGGTTTAGAATATTAATACAATAGGTATAGCTATCTAAATAATATTTGATATATGGGATATCATATAATTTTAATACTAATTCTATATACTTTCCTGTCAGCCTTAGTAATTTTCATAAATTTTTAATCAGATCATGCTTGTCTAAATATTTGCGTTACCATCTACAGAATATTTCCGATTATAATTCTCAGTTTTTTACCCCAAAATGGTCCCTTACCAAAATTTTAAGTTTTTTTTCCCCTTTGAAAATACCGCAAATAGATGTTGAGGATCCGTCATTTTGTCTGTTTAACTTCAGCAATCAGTATCACGTATCATAATTCAAAATCTGACATCTGATTCCCCAACGATTCAATAAAAGTTTTTGAATATTGAAGTAAAATTGAGCTCCAGCATCTATTAAAGCAAATATTTGACTCTTATCGATAACGAATTTAGATATAGTTCTCAAGTCATATATGTAATGAATTTTGACAACCAGAAGGTCAGGTATGAAACTTGTGATTGAATGAAGAGATCTATTTAAGAAGCAACCATATTGACTTTCTCACATAGATCCTAATGTAATTTACAATGAATGATACCAGATATAGGTTTGATATTTTATAATATCATGGTTTATTATTCGATGATATTTAGAAAATCATAAATAATCTAAGTTTGATTCTATTTACTGTGACTCAAATAAGACATCATGTTAAGCTCAAACAACAGAATCTCAGCCACAATATTAAGAAGAGAAATACACCATCAATTACAACTAACAATTTTATACGTCTACGTTCTAAAGACAAGAGTTATAGAAGTTTTAAAAACTTTTTATGATTATCAAAGAGACTTACAGCATCTTTTTGCATCCTTCCAATTTCAGGCAGACGTCTGTGGTTCCTGCAAATTCATTGAAACTAAGAGTTACAATATCAAAAGGTGCTACTAATAGCCCCTTAGCCTTTGGGATAGTGTTGTCACAAAGCACCTAGTTTCAGTGGAATTGCAAAAAAAACAGACTAACTATGGAAGAATTCACATCGATACTATCAATTTCCCTAATACATAAAATAAGTGAAGAAAGCTTATTTACTAAACTTGGGCAAACTAACATTGATTCTACAATGACTTATATTGTATCTATTACAGATGACTGATGCTGATATATTTGACAATTCTTTTGGGCCTTTGCCTCTATCAAAAATACTGATGCTATATAATTTCTATAGTTCATAACAAAAGTCAGTTAATATATCATAATGAGGTCAAATAACATCAAAAACCAGAACATACAACAATCATGACATCATCATGAAATATTTTTCAGATCACTCAAACATGATCAATGATAGGCCTTTGATTTATATTCCAACTCATATTAATAGATCTTCATTTCATTTTAATGAAGCATTTACAATTGATGGTAATGTTTCAGCCAACAAAACATCCAGTTATTTATATTGAGCAGAGACTCATTTTGGACAGGAATCAAAACCTTTTTTTTCCTGTTAAACTAAACCATATCTTTCTCATTTGGTACATTTTTGCTTTTTGGTATACCCTTTTTGATTCAGTATTAAAATGTTGTAAAATCCTTGTTATACCAGTCCCTGGGACTTTCCGTATTGTTGCAAATTTAGTGCGCACCCGTTCTTACCCTCCAGTGATCTGGGAAAATCTGTCACTGTAAATAATGCCCTTTCAAAAATATCAACAGGTTGGCATAACACAGACACCATAATAATGAGTGGTTATATCGCATATTCCACGGCTTTCACTTATTCAGGCTTACTTGTATACGTAACAGTTGTTTTGATATCCAAAACCCTTTCCCTCAAAGAAATTCATAACAACCATCTGACGCATTTTATCCTATACACACATTACAAAACGGTGATCAATACGACCTTGACATATGATATCAATTAAGAAATGATACCAAATACTCATCATGGCAGACACACACAGGCTTATTCAAAATATACAATTAGAGAATTAAAATTAGTGACTAATATTCTAGTTTTATTCCTGCTTCAATCCAGGATCTTGAAAACAAATGAGAGTTATTGAGCCTTCTTGTCTTTTAGCTGAATACCTGTAATGGAAATCAATACACATGTAAAATACAATATTTCTGCCCTCATTTTTAATTCGATGAGGGCTTATCTAACTGAAAATCTGCAATTTCACGACTCGCCCTTTATCTGTGTAAATGGAGTCTGATGTTTTGCCAAATTTGCTCTGGAACCAAGATGTAAAGAATCAGACTTATTTTATCTCCTGCATGCCTGGTTCACAATGAATTGAATGAGGTTCTAAGCTAAAATCTTGATGCAAGTGACAACTTGTCAAAATATATCTGCTTAATTTGCTTTGGTAACTAGGGAAAAACAGATTCTTTGGAGGACCCTAACCTATACCCATGAAAAGTAGTCGCTGATTGGCTATATAAACAATGACATAATGAGTCAAGGGAGGTTATCAGGCTTTATGACAAGAATATTGATCTGCTATGGGAAATGTAAAGTGGCAGATTCATTTCAATGACTACTGACCCTTCAAACCTGAAGGTGTACTGCATAGGGCTTCTACAGTTAGTGATATATCACTCAATAAATCGAATCTCCAGATATCATAGAGGCTGTACCAGGTAAGAGATGAGAGTAGATACTTACATTTTACCTACAGGAATGAGCATAGAATCATTAGGTTGTAAAACATATTCTTTACCATCTACTGTTATAGTTGATTTATTTTCCTGGAAAATATCATAAAAATCATTGAGACTACTGACCAGATATAAATTCACATCCTTTTATTTTCCATTTAACTTTTATAGAAAACAGATTAGTTTAGTTTTACTGACTATATCTCCTTGCATTTGTCAAAAAATAACTATCAGAGAGCAAAAAAGAACAAGTCTGCCCTCCAATGGCAAAACCTAGTGAGTCATTTGTTCATTTTGATTGGCTCTTAGAAACAATAGGTTTCAATTGTAAATGCCATAACTGACGGACTCATTAGGTTTTACCTTTGGTATTCAAGTTTCTTGGATCCATTTTTACAGATTTGTTACAGTATAAATATGTGGTAGTAACTAGTTACTCTAGTACCCCCAAAAAAAATCAAGTTTGACCAAAAAATGACTAAATAGGTTTTGCCATTGGTATAAAAAAAGTGGACAGATACTTACGATTTGCCAGATCCAGGTCTCTGCCACTAAATGTTTCCCTGAATTTTCTCCTTGTCCATAAACCATGACTTGAAACTGACAACCACAGCCAAATAATAACATACTGCCTTTCTTATTAATATCTGCCCGGTTTTTATCAATCCATTTCTTTAAACTAAAGGGATTTTTCAGTGTAACTTCACTGTCTAATACTATTGGTGGATCTACAGGGATCGCTCCTGAAAAATGTACAGAAATAAAAAATTAAGAGCTGAGCAATGAAAATTGGAATTCAAACTGAACCATTCTGCTACAATTTGTATTAAATAAATGCACTTTAAAATGAAAATCTGAATTTTTTATGCTGTAAGTATAAGATATACAGATATGATTTATGAGGTAAAGTTTATATGAGCTATAAGCTCTGATGCATGATATCTTAATACTATATATAATTGATGCATATCTTGAGATACCAAAATACACACAGTCAATCATTTTGGGGTCATTTTAGTGGTAATATCTACAAATACACTGCTTTTGAAAAAGTTTGATAACATCCCTGACGTTCATGTAGTTGAAATACTATATTATCATATCCATGTGTATAAGGTGTCTTAGAATGGCCAACCACATTCGATGCAACTTAAACTTTTGATTTCTTCTGTGTATACATTTTAACCTGGTTGTATACATGTTAATCCGGTATGCCCAGAATCTTAAAAGTATTGCTATAAATTATCATACAAGCAAGGGGGGGTAACAAATTGGATAAAAATAAATAAATATCTGGAAATAAACTTGAATCTAACAGAATACCTCTATTCAATAAGAATAGAAAACCTCTATTCATCAAGAATAGAAAACCTCATAATACAATCAAATAGATAGAATAAAAAAATATAACTACAAGTGAATGAATGCAAATTTGAGTGAATAGAGGAGAGAAGAAGAGATGAGTAAACAAATGATTAATATTATTATTATTACTATTAATCATCTAATTATGATTAAATATATTCAGTAATCAATGAACTTAACTCAGAAATGTTCAATACCACTCAATATTAATCATCTAATTCTGATTAAATATCTTCAGTAATCAATGAAATTAACTCAGTAGTGTTCAATACCACTCACTATTAAATCATCTACTAATTCTGATTAAATATACTCAGTAATCAATGTACTAAACTCAGTAGTGTTCAATACAACTCACTATCAATCAGCTTCTAATACTGATTAAATATACTCAGTTATCAATGACCTAAACTCAGTTGTGTTCAATACAACTCACTATTATATGGTCTACTAATACTGATTAAATATACTCGGTAATCAATGAACTTAACTCAGTTGTGTTCAATACAACTCACTATTAAATCGTCTACTAATTCTGATTACATATACTCAGTAATCAATGAACTTAACTCAGTAGTGTTCAATACAACTCACTATTAAATCGTCTACTAATACTGATTAAATATACTCAGTAATCAATGAACTTAACTCAGTAGTGTTCAATACAACTCACTATTAAATCGTCTACTAATACTGATTAAATATCTTCAGTAATCAATGAACTTAACTCAGTTGTGTTCAATACAACTCACTATTAAATCGTCTACTAATACTGATTAAATATACTCAGTAATCAATGATCTAATCTCAGTAGTGTTCAATACAACTCACTATTAATCATCTACGAAAATTGATTAAATATATTCAGTAATCAATGAACTTAACTCAGTAGTGTTCAATACAACTCAATATTAAATCATCTACTAATTCTGATTAAATATACTCAGTAATCAATGAACTTAACTCAGTAGTGTTCAATACAACTCACTATTAAATCGTCTACTAATACTGATTAAATATCTTCAGTAATCAATGAACTTAACTCAGTTGTGTTCAATACAACTCACTATTAAATCGTCTACTAATACTGATTAAATATATTCAGTAATCAATGAACTAAACTCAGTAGTGTTCAATACAACTCACTATTAATCATCTACGAAAATTGATTAAATATACTCAGTAATCAATGATCTAATCTCAGTAGTGTTCAATACAACTCACTATTAATCATCTACGAAAATTGATTAAATATATTCAGTAATCAATGAACTTAACTCAGTAGTGTTCAATACAACTCAATATTAAATCATCTACTAATTCTGATTAAATATAGTCAGTAATCAATGAACTAAACTCAGTAGTGTTCAATACAACTCACTATTAATCATCTACGAAAATTGATTAAATATACTCAGTAATCAATGAACTTAACTCAGTAGTGTTCAATACAACTCACTATTAAATCATCTACTAATTCTGATTAAATATAGTCAGTAATCAATGATCTAATCTCAGTATTGTTCAATACAACTAACTATTAAATCTTCTACTAATTCTGATTAAATATATTCAGTAATCAATGATCTTATCTCAGTTGTGTTCAATACAACTCACTATTAAATCGTCTACTAATTCTGATTACATATACTCAGTAATCAATGATCTAATCTCAGTAGTGTTCAAGACAACTCACTATCAATCACCTTCTAATTCTGATTAAATATAGTCAGTTATCAATGAACTAAACTCAGTAGTGTTCAATACAACTCACTATTAAATCGTCTACTAATACTGATTAAATATACTCGGTAATCAATGATCTAATCTCAGTAGTGTTCAATACAACTCACTATTAATCTTCTACTAATTCTGATTAAATATACTCAGTAATCAATGATCTAATCCCAGTATTGTTCAATACAACTAACTATTAAATCTTCTACTAATTCTGATTAAATATATTCAGTAATCAATGATCTAATCTCAGTTGTGTTCAATACAACTCACTATTAAATCGTCTACTAATTCTGATTACATATACTCAGTAATCAATGATCTAATCTCAGTAGTGTTCAAGACAACTCACTATCAATCACCTTCTAATTCTGATTAAATATAGTCAGTTATCAATGAACTAAACTCAGTAGTGTTCAATACAACTCACTATTAAATCGTCTACTAATACTGATTAAATATACTCGGTAATCAATGATCTAATCTCAGCAGTGTTCAATACAACTCACTATTAAATCTTCTACTAATACTGATTAAATATATTCACTAATCAATGAATGAACTCAGTAGTGTTCAATACATCTCACTATTAAATCGTCTACTAATTCTGATTAAATATACTCAGTAATCAATGAACTTAACTCAGTAGTGTTCAATACATCTCACTATTAAATCGTATACTAATTCTGATTAAATATACTCAGTAATCAATGAACTTAACTCAGTAGTGTTCAATACAACTCACTATCAATCACCTTCTAATACTGATTACTGAGCCCTGGACATTCACTTCCAGCATTTAACTCACTAAGACCATGCGAAAACAGAATACCCTCAATCTATGCCTTTGCGTTTTCTACAGCCAACTTTCACTTTTAACTCATTTAGGTCATTATCCTATACAGCTTTCATTCATGATGAGTTGTCTGAAGATTACATAGCCCGAAACTCTGAATGACAGCATGTTTTTGGAGGTCTGTTATAATATTTCTATGTCTATCATATATCATATATATTAAAGTTATAATTAGTTATATAACATGGATATTTAAAACATTACAATTAGACCAGACTTAATTAGAAGTACAACATGGAAAGCATTCTGTACATCAATATCATTCCCATCTTCACAATACCGAGCTATTATTAACTAAGTCTCATACCTTGACTGCAATAGCCACTATTCTTGTATCTAGGAAGTTTGTAACTGCAGTTATTTGAATGGATTGCACTCTGGCGAATACAGCCAATCAGGGCTTTCTACAGACTTCTGTAAAGCATAAGCCATACTGTTTAAGTGCCTTGCTTCCCTGTATTTGCAGGTGTACAATCCAATCAACTCCCTGCATTTTGTGATATAGAAATAGTGGCTATTGCAGTCAAGGTATAAGATGAAGTGTGTAATAGCTGGACATTGTGAAGATGTATCATTCCATGCTTTTAGAGGTTTCGCTTGGCGGAAGCTACAAAGACATATAAGTTCTGTTACTCTGTTAATTTAGAATTTTGAAATTGAAATAGTTAAATTCATGCATTGTAAGAAATAATGACATTCCACTATTCTCGAAAACCATTTCACTGGTGCACCTGTCCGTTTAAGCTCACTTTTAAAAGTTAATTGACTTATTTCTAAAATCAATAATTGCATCATTCACTTTCTTACATAATACAGAGAAAATACTTTCCTAGATCTTTTTGTTGAATTGAAAGGTAACCAGACACCAAATAATAAAAAAAGAATATGTTTTGGAGAAAAATGGTCTATATTGTTAAGAAGTAATACATGAAAATATACATTTCTAACCTGATTCTACTTTCTTGTACTTGGCACTTCGACCTGCTAAAATGCATGACATTGAAATGCTTAAAAAAATTCATTCAGCCAGAAACCATAAGATATCTTGTTTATAATGTCATGGATGATGAGATATCTTCTCTTTAGTGTCAATATGGATGAAAATATATATTGTTTCTAGTGACAGTATGGATGATAAGATATTTTGTTTTTAGTGACAGTTTGGATGATAAGATATTTTGTTTACAGTGACAGTATGGATGATGAGATACCTTGTTTATATTGACTGTATGGGTGATATATCTTGTCTACAGTCAAAATAGGTGATGAGATATATTGTTTATAGTGTCAATATGGGTCATAAGATATCAGACTTATGGTGACAGAATGGATGATAAGATATGGTGCTTATAGTCTTAGTATGGATGATGAAATATCTTGTTGATAATGTCAGTATGGATGATAAGATATGGTGTTTTTAGTGACAGTATAGATGATAAGATATATTGTTCATATTGTCAGTATGGATGATAAGATATATTGTTTATAATGTCAGTATAGATGATAAGATATATTGTTTAAAATGTCAGTATAGATGACAAGATATATTATTTATATTGTCAGTATGGATGATAAGATATATTGTTTATAATGTCAGTATAGATAAGATATATTGTTTATAATGTCAGTATGGACGATAAGATATATTGTTTATAATGTCAGTATAGATAAGATATATTGTTTCTAATGTCAGTATGGATGATAAGATATATTGTTTATAATGTCAGTATAGATAAGATATATTGTTTATAATGTCAGTATGGATGATAGATGATAAGATATTTTGTTTATAATGTCAGTATAGATGATAAGATATATTGTTTATAATGTCAGTATAGATGACAAGATATATTGTTTATATTGTCAGTATGGATGATAAGATATATTGTTTAAAATGTCAGTATAGATGACAAGATATATTGTTTATATTGTCAGTATGGATGATAAGATATATTGTTTATAATGTCAGTATAGATAAGATATATTGTTTATAATGTCAGTATGGACGATAAGATATATTGTTTATAATGTCAGTATAGATAAGATATATTGTTTCTAATGTCAGTATGGATGATAAGATATATTGTTTATAATGTCAGTATAGATAAGATATATTGTTTATAATGTCAGTATGGATGATAAGATATATTGTTTATAATGTCAGTATAGATGACAAGATATATTGTTTATATTGTCAGTATGGATGATAAGATATATGGTTTATAATGTCAGTATAGATAAGATATATGGTTTATAATGTCAGTATGGATGATAAGATATATTGTTTATAATGTCAGTATAGATAAGATATATTGTTTTTAATGTCAGTATGGATGATAAGATATATTGTTTATAATGTCAGTATAGATAAGATATATTGTTTTTAATGTCAGTATGGATGATAAGATATATTGTTTATAATGTCAGTATAGATACAAGATATATTGTTTATATTGTCAGTATGGATGATAAGATATATTGTTTATAATGTCAGTATGGATGATAAGATATATTGTTTATAATGTCAGTATAGATAAGATATATTGTTTATAATGTCAGTATGGATGATAAGATATATTGTTTATAATGTCAGTATAGATAAGATATATTGTTTATAATGTCAGTATGGATGATAAGATATATTGTTTATAATGTCAGTATAGATGACAAGATATATTGTTTATATTGTCAGTATGGATGATAAGATATATTGTTTATAATGTCAGTATAGATAAGATATATTGTTTATAATGTCAGTATGGATGATAAGATATATTGTTTATAATGTCAGTATAGATAAGATATATTGTTTTTAATGTCAGTATGGATGATAAGATATATTGTTTATAATGTCAGTATAGATAAGATATATTGTTTTTAATGTCAGTATGGATGATAAGATATATTGTTTATAATGTCAGTATAGATGACAAGATATATTGTTTATATTGTCAGTATGGATGATAAGATATATTGTTTATAATGTCAGTATAGATAAGATATGCTGTTTATAATGTCAGTATGGATGATAAGATATATTGTTTATAATGTCAGTATAGATAAGATATATTGTTTATATTGTCAGTATAGATGATAAGATATATTATTTATATTGTCAGTATAGATAAGATATATTGTTTATAATGTCAGTATAGATGATAAGATATATTGTTTATAATGTCAGTATAGATGATAAGATAGCAAGTATGATCTTCACAAAGGAAGTTCATGTGAGCTTTGAACTTAAGTTGAAGTCATGCTGCTGACAGAGCAAGAGTAAGCTTAAATCCTGGGTATATATGATATTCTTCGATATTTAAACAGTTTTAATATCAAAAGAAAACATGAGGCCATTATAAGAAAAAAGATTTCAAATCATCAGAGCAAATAATCCAAGACTTAAATCTGTTTTCTATATATGACTTCAATATAAAATATAACAGTTAAACCTATGTCACACTTGATGAACAATATTTTAATAGTATTTTAATTGTTTTCAAATGTGTGTCAGTATAATATTCATATTAGTACAAAAATCTAAGATATGGCTTAGTAATGTGCTTTCAAGAGCTTGAATGGTGAGTCAAAGCATCTTCCTCACAGTCAATCTGAGTAAAACTCATATACTAAGAAATTGGGTCACTTAAGGGCACAATGCTTGAATGATATATACCTTTTAACAGGAATTTTGTCAAATAGGGCCTACATTTGTCAGAATCTTTTTCAGTAATTTTGTAGATAAAATTAACATGTGCATCATTTTTTTTACCTGTGTCAATTCCTTTTTGATGAATGGTTAGGACTTGTGTATTTTTTTAACTGTAAAAAGCCAAGTTGTACAAGCCCAGAGTTGATACATACTACAGATTTTTGATCTAATAATGTGTATAATAACATCTAAATGCTGATTGTAGCATACTCTTCAATATCATACCATAATCATCAATGCTTTAAAATTCAAATTTCCACAAAAAAAATAATAAAACAAAATACATGAATGAAAATTTGTTCACCAACCTGCTTTAGGGACTCCAGTTTTACATTGTGGTGAATCAAAAAATCTGAAATAAGACAGATAACATATCGAATGAAGAGAAATATTTATTCCATTGTTTTAATGGCTACCCTAGGTAAATGTTGACTATTCTGAAGTTCAGGGAGTTGCACAGTCTGCTCACATGTATGAGGGTTTGATGGCCGATGAAACAAAAGCTCAGTTGTTTTGGTCAATCAAGTAAATTTCCCTCATTGCACAATACATGGTGTCTGTTTTCTGACAATGAGCAAAATGGTACAAGATTATCATTTAGAATGAATTCTACAAGCAGCACTATCCATCATAGGCTGTAATCGTTGGGTTACAATCCAATAAAATCACAGCATTATGTCATACAAGAAAGGCCGCTATTGGAGTCAAGGTAAAGGTAATAGCTTGACATTGTGAAGATGAGTGAAGCCCAACAAATCTATTCTTTTTCTGGCCCTAAATGTAACAATATCCCTTCCATATGTCAAGTCTGAAAAATGATAGGGCCAGATTTGTTAAGCTAGGCTCAGTGCAAAACATATCACAAACATATACTTACTCTTTTATTATAGGCACTAATTGTGTTCCTAAATCTTCACAATAAAACCATTTTTCAAACAAAGATTCCATTGTTTTTTCACCTTCTACTTCTACATAATATCTGTTTAAAAGAGAATTTTAATCTTTATCCTCTGATCAGGTAGGTAAATGACAAGTTAACGTTCGCTTCCAGCAGATGCTGATATCGCATATCCTTTGATAACTTGAAGTTCAAGAGATTTGATGTTATTAGTTTGTAATCCTCTGATCAACGAAGGTCAGAAAATAATAACATAACAAATAAATAATCTCCTGAACTTCAAGTTATTTAAAGTAGTTATATGGATTAAAAATTAGTTCATGGATTTGTCAGGTTATACAGGATTCTGTTATATATTTATGACACCAGGTTATTCCATTGATGAATATAAAACCTTGCCAAGTTTGAAAATCAAAATTTATGCTCATTTTAATAGTACATGTACATACCTTAATCCATCTAATTCTGATTTGAGGCGTTCTCGTTCTATGACTAAACCAATAGTATTTTCTGAGCGTTGTGGGGAATGAGCTACACGACCAGGTAACAAAAATATCTGAAATGGAGTTGACATGTTGCCTTTGATGATGTAAAAAATTTTAATTTGTCTGAACATCATATATGAAAAATCATAAGGTGGTAATAGTAACTTTAAGATAATCAGAAGAACAAATCTGATTGGTTGGTTATTATTACAGTGATACTGACAAATCAGATTTTAAAGGGACAGACTCGCTATTTTTTGGCGTTGTTTTGGATTTTGGATATATGCAATTAATCTTTGGAAGTACTAGAAATATACGGAAAACGCAACTAGGAATTTCAACTTTTATATCAATAGATGTCTTTGATAAGCTGACTTTTTAACTTTTAACATGGATAATTCTAGACACACATGGATTTGAACGTTCAAATTTCGACAAAAACAGTTAAAATGCAGTCTAATCACAGTTAATGTTAATTTTGAAATTGATTTCCTTTTTATGAGGACATGATAGCTTTAATGTATTAGTATTTAATCAGTAAATCTATAATATAATTCTATAGACTGATTTACACAACAATAGGATAAACCTGATTCTATATCAATGAATTCTATATCATCAATCAAAGGCAATGCAGAATTAACTCTAATCTATTTTCCGCTTAGTTTACTAAATTTTAACACCAAAATAAATCATGTACTAACTTCCGAACCCAAAATCCAAACAACATTGGCAAAACATTAGTAATGAACTTTCCACATGAAGTATATCAATCATAAGTGAGTAGTATTTTATAATGCAAAGTGGTATCAGGTGTCTAGAAGAGTAAGCACACCCTGCGTGGTGCCACAGCTGTAATAGCTGTTTAACATGAAAAACAAACATGAAAAATAAACAATACTTTAACCCTGTGCCAGTGCCTTTGAGGATAGTAATTTGTTAGTTGAAAAAATCGACAAAACAAAATGATTGAATGAAATTAAAGGGGCAATTCTTTAATTTAGCTTATCATCTGATAACAGGATTATTATTAGACATCAGTATCTTTTAAACAGTAAATCAGATGAATAATTCCTAAGAAATGTGATATTGTGGTAATAAATCAAAAAATCAATAATATTCAATATATCTTAATTTCAATCTTAATAAGTTTCCTGCACTCAGATAAATGTTAATATTGGAAGTTACAGAAATTTCACATTTATGACTACAACTAACAAATTACTATCCTCAAAGGCACTGGCACAGGGTTAAGGTATCTACTTTAAAGTCGTGATTAATTTGTCATGTTAAAAGCGCAACGATTCATTAGAAGATCCAATTTGGTTTTTGAGACACAGAAATGAAAGTTCATGTTCGCATAAATATCAGAGAAGCAATCTATTGCAAACACAATTTATTCTTTTATGACATTACTTGTCAAGGGTCAAGGTCATTATAGGACTTGAGCAGAACTCCATGAATAAGTGGGTTTGGCCTAGAGGCATGTTTTCACTGCACCGATATATTTTGCTGTGCCGTACTTGCGGAATTCCGTTCAAGTGAAACACAGTGCCAAGCCCTCTGTTTTACATGGCAACTTTTTCTCAGTCTGAACTCGGCCCTTCTTATGTCTATTGGCAGTCTAAACACAGCTTGTTTGACAATGTTAATATATCAAACAGGCTAATAAACCACTGGTATGTGTGTTGCTAACCAATATCTAACATTGTCACACGTTAATTATATAATAAAACACTTCTTCAGATTAGAAAAAATATTAATAGAAAAAACAGTGGTAAATATGTGTCTATAATAAAGTGAACTACATTAAAAAGTCATCATTTTGACAGTTTGTGAGAGGAAAAACCAGAAAAATGTAAATAAAAGTTAATGACAATACCTCTCCTTCTTTTATTATAACATCTCTATGTTTACCATGTTCCACTACTTTTAAACACATATCTCCTTTCACCATGTAAAATAACTAGAAAAAATAAAATATAATAACAGATGGACATTTCATCAATAGTTCTATATTCTAGAAATAAGATATTTTTCAATAAAATTATACCGAAAACAAAAAATGCACACTTTTCTTTACATTTTAAGACCTTTGAAAGAACATTTTCACACGAATGCATCGGATTCTCTAAAACTTAAAGGGACAGATTCACCATTTTAAGGCTTTGGTTTGGGTGTTGAATATATGTAAATAGTCTTCAGAAGTATTAGAAATGTAGGAAAATCACATAATTCCTTTACAAATACTTCAAACTAGGAATTTTACTCATTATTTCTATAATGTCTTTTCTATATATCACAGAGTATCTTAAATGACGAGTCGTCATTTTAACATTCAAATGCAGATAATTCTGGACATACATGGATTTGAAGGCTAAAATTTCGACGATGGGCCGTGAACATTATAACTGAGCTTAGTTAAAAAATTCCACTTTTTGTGACTAAGGTACGATGTCGCACTTGTCCCTTTAACTTCGGTCTATTTCAAGATCAAATCAAGTTTCAGTTATCTTGATTACTTTGATTTTCATACATTTCTAGCACTACTGAAGACTATTTACATATATTCAAGACTAAAATCAACCCCCCAAAATGGCACATCTGTCTGTTAGATTTGCTGAGCAAACAAATTTTAAAAAGATATCTTGATCTGCATATTTACTGGGAAAAATATATGAAAATGCAGACATTAAGACCAGTATCTAAATTAGAAATATATTCAGAAATAACTTCATACTATGATATCATTAAGTATGATCATATGATATGATATGATTTTTATGTTTGAAGTTTTCACTTCATTAATAGTTAATGATATACCATAACTTGAAACAGGTGTTTTACATCATACTGTGATAATTTAAAAATATTCACTTTGTAGTAATGTATCAATATTAATATTATACATGCTAATCTAAAGAAGCATTGGTTTTTATTGTAGGTCAAATTTTTTTTGGCTCAAAAAAGTTTTTGTGAAAACTATACATCAATAAGTAGAGAAATGTGTCCTTTGACATATCTGAAAGTCAACAAAGTTAACTAAAAATCAAGCCATTAACTTTTAAGTTAACTTTTAAATTTCGTTATGATTTTTAAAGATGTTCGAAACTACTGTACGGATTTGAGTAAAATAAACGTCTTATTATAGAGGCAAATCGAGCTATTATAAAGCTAAACGCTAAAACTAGATCAAACTGCATAATTAACAAGTAATACTCTCCGTCTTTAATTAACACTTTTAAAATAAATTCAGTTTGATCTAGTAGATACAGGTACATAAATATAAATAGCATACTTTAGAAATATTTTCAGGTATAATTCATGATGTTTTTGATAATGATTTTTTTTTCAATTGGAGCAGTGGTGACTAGATGCTTGCTGACTAAGCTGAAAAAGAGTAAGCTAATGCTACTGTCCTGGCAAAATTTACCTCAATTTCTTCATTTTCTTTACAAATACAATGGCCAGTAAAACCTTTTTTAATACATCAAGCTGGATCACTTAAAAAACACTTTAAAAAAACTTATCAAACTAATTTGTTTACATCAATTTATAAAAAATATAAATTAGTTGGAAATAGATGGAAGTTATAACTTGTTATAACAAGTTACTAACTTGATAAAAAGACATTAAAAATTATATTAAGCTAATTGTCTAAAATTGTTTAAAATGCTAAAATAATATGTGATCTTTTAACACAGTTGACATTAGTTTAAAACTGGACGGAAACAATTAGTCTGGCATTGTTTTGATTGGCTATAATTTAAAATGACACCCCTTAACTGATTCAATTTGTAAAATGATATGGTCTTTAAATACAATCCTCCACAGCAATTTGGTTGAAAATTGATTTGATGAGGAATAATTGTTTTCAATAGTGTAATATATGATATGATAAACTGATGTAATGACACAACTTTAAAGGGACAGTTGCCATTCTTTTTGACCAATCATAATTTAGTCTCGGAAACCGGATTTCTTTTTAGCAAAGCCAATCAGTAATAGTGTTCAAAGCTAACTGTCCTAATTTGAGCTTTCAAATCCATATGTGTTGAGAATTATCTGTACATTTCTAGTACTTCTGAAGATTAATTACACATATTCAAGACTAAAATCAACCCCATAAAATGAAGTTGTTCTTAAATATTTGGAAGCCTGAATTTCAATTTACAGAAATGTACTAAGTGAAATTTGATTTACCAACAAAAGTAAAAAATAAATTACTGACAATAAAACACTTAAAAGCAATAATGATGATGACAAAAGGTTTTGTCTAATATAATAAATCTATTATTTACCTCTTCTCCTTCCTCTATATGATAATCTTTACGTTGATTTGGTCCACCTACATAAAATACCTTCATCTGGCCCTTCTGATGCCTGAAAAAAAACAAATTATTATGGTAATTCAACTGTAAATATCATTCGATTTTTGTATTTTATACAAAGAGGGTAACTTTGATGTGTTTAGGCGAATAAATATCCAAGGAAGACTCAGTGGTTCAGTGAGTTAGACAATTGGTTGCTAACATAGAGGGCCCGGTCGGGGCTGTTCATTGTTCCTCATAATTTTTAAATGAAATGAATTACAGTAACTTAACTGTAAAATATTAGCTTTGTGATTTTTTGATTTTTCAACATTTTTCATGGTTTATCAAAACAGAACATGTTCAAGAGTTGGAGTAAGACCAGACTAATGCCACTATCCAAACAAAATTTCCCTCATGGTACACTGCATGGCAGTGTCCACCAACATAAGTACAATCAGTGGTATATGCTCTTCTAAGTAGTCATAGTTAAAATTGAAAAATTTAAATAGCTATTTGTCAGTAGTTATAATTTAATTCCTTCTGTCAAAAATTGCTCATTCATCTGACCAAAATACAAAATGCCTTTTGACAGTTCAAATTGAAAAAGATCAGGCTAGTGTTGCTATTCTGATTAACTTTTACTCATTGTACACTGCATGACTGTGTTCACCAATATTAGTTTAATTAGGGGTTCACCTTATGGTTTATGTAGTCCTAGTTAAAATAGAAACATTTAAATATCTATTGGACATTACTGATTCCTTTTGTATTTTCTGTGTCAAAAATCACTCATTCATGAGTATTGACAAAAAAATCAAATGGCTATTTTTTGACTATCCTGTCCAAAAACATAATGCCTCGTTTTGACTGTTCACTGATGCTGTTAATCTTTTATCTAACACCATTACCTACTTCTTTCTGCTTAACTGACTTCTGATACTTTGGTAAAATAAAGTTTTGTGTATAGTAGAAACTGTTTAAGAGATCACTCAAGGGAATAATCTATAACAGTGGTCTCTTAGCAAGAGAATTGGGTAAGAATAAACACCATAACTATTTTGTTTTGATAGCCATTTTATATCTTCTACTGTTATAATTAACTTATAATTTAATTAATCTTTTAACGATTAGCAAATTGTCAATAATAATATAATAGCCACCTTACTGTATCATAGAAGTTTGTAAATGAAGCGATTTGATTGGATAGTACATAATGCGAATACAGATGTAAATGAAGCGATTTGATTGGATTGTATGTTAGCAAATACAGCCTACCAGAGGACTCGACAGAAAGTCTGTGAACACAAATGTTTACAGACTTTCTGTTGATTGACTGTATTCGCTAGTGTACAATCCAATCAAATCACTGCGTTCTCTGATAGAAGAAAGTTGACTATTGACATTGTGAAAATTCTACTACATGTAGTTCTTTTATTTTATGTAGATTAACAACATACTGGATTTTAATTTTGATAAGTGTTACAGATAGTTGAAATTCTATCAGGTGGTAAAGTGGATAATAGGGGGACTATATCTGTAATAGATAATCTAAAGAAAAGTAACATATGGCCATTATGAGATAATAGTATCATTATATACCTAGCTTATGATAAGAATTAGAAATAGAATTATGTCAATGGACATATTTTACTTATAGCAGCTCTTCTAAAGCAATGCCTTCTGACAAAAATTGACTTTGGAATGAAATGCTCTGAAGTCTCATACAAACTACCATAGTGAAACTAAAAAGACAGTCTGCTATGTGATTAGGTGCTGTTGGTTTGAAGATCCTCAAGGCAAAAAAAAAAATTTAACTGAATAAAAAATCATTAATGAAAGTGAAAAAATTGAGTTATGGACAGAAATATACATCAATCGAATCAAACACAATTCTCATGATAATTTTATAATAACAAGAGATATATGTAATTATTAATCGATGTCTGCATCAGTAAAAATGCTATATTTTTCCCTCTGTCAGGATGAATAATGGTGAATTGCTTACGAATGAGAGAGAACATGGGAAACTTTCATTTCAACAGTTTGGAATGATAATTGAAGGGACAGATTCACCATTTTAGGGAGTTGATTTGAAGGCTAAACTTTTGAGAGTGAGCTTTCAACACTATTACTGATTGGCTTAGCTAAAAAGTTTCCATTTTTGAGACTTAGATACAATTGATCAATGGGATGGCGAATCTGTCCCTTTAACTGTTAAACACAACCAGATATAAAGTCATTGTAAGAAGGACAGACTCATAAGCTAAGCAAACCAGATAATACCAGACTTAACCAATATAATATAGTATCGGTTATAGTACAGTACACTATTTACTAAGTATATTATTATTATCTACACATGTTTACCTGGCTTGTGTGTACTAGTTAATAAGGGTACTATACAAACAAATACATGTCATCAATGTTTAAATGAAATAGGTTCAATAACATTTTTCAACAGACTACAAGTGCATTGGACAACTTCAAAGTGACAGGTGTGCCATTTTTTTGACCAATCTAACCTAAGTCTCAGAAACAGAATTTTTTTTATCGTTATAGTTTTCACAGCACACCGTCGAAATTTGAGCCTTCAAATCCATGTGTTTCCAGAATTAAAAGTTAAACAGATTAGTCGTCATTTCTTGAGACACTTCATATAGAAAAGGAAAAGAAATTCCTAGTTTGAGATATTTTTGAAGGAATAATGCAATTTTCGTACATTTGAAGACTATTTACATATTCAAGACTCAATTCACCCTCAAAAATGGTGCAACTGTCCCTCTAAAGATAGCCTTAATTTTAGATAAAATATCATGCATTGATAAGTAAATCTAAAAAGAAATTGACTTTTACATGAAACTTTGCCTACCTTAGTTCCTTAGCTTTGCCCCTTAAATCCAGTGTTCTAAATTCTATATCTTCCATTTTGAAAATTAGTTCCAAAGCAAATTCAGTCTAGTAGCAATCATAAATAGAATTTGTAACTTTTTCTTCTAATATTTCTCATCTCTGATGTAATCTAACAAGTTTTCAACCAAAATCCAGTTCTAGCGATATAATTTTTTGTCTTGTAGTACCTGTTTTTCAATAGGATGAATTGTGGGATATAAAAAAACCAAAGGGGCTGTCATATTGCTCCTCTTTTTCACTATCCCACTATTCGTTATGTTATAAAGAACAGGTCCTTATTAACACCCTTTGATTGGTAAAAAACAATGTCAATAGAATGGAAATGAAATACAAAACTGGTAAGATTACATTGGACATGAAATATCAGAAAAAAGAAACAAAGTTTATTGAACTCTGAAATAAGTCATTAGTCTATTGCTTATAATATTGATTAGTTACTTTACTTTTTTATATTCAATGAAGCAACTCTATTAGGTCGTAATAATGTTTAGGTACAATACTGGTTCAATAACTGTTATTATACTGTGTAATTGATTGTAAAATAGTGCCTTAGTCTGTTGAAAAAAATGAATTTCATCTGCATGTAACTAACCTATATGGTCTTACCTAGATTAAATATTTTCTTGAAATCAAAATAGTAGGCATACAGTAATATTTATCATTCATTTATTTAATGAATTTGAACATATAATACATGGAACCAGAAAGCAAGATATGGATCATACATCATCTGCCACATATGCCTTGCTTATTCCTTATTCCAGTCTTTTCATTAAGCAACCCTAAGTGCTCAGACGCCTAATGAAACTGTTGTAATTAAATCCAGTAACAAATCCTTCTAACCAAAAGGGTTCTCAGGAGTTGTCATGTTTTGACTCTGAGTGCCAGTGCATAGAGTTGAAAAATATAATGCAGTAATGGCAAATTCACAAATGAAATCACATTACATAGCCTACAATAAACTAATAAAGCACTCACATCATTTTGTTGCATACTGGAGGCTCGAAATACTGTTTATTCTGCTCAATCCAATTATCTACATTCACTACACAGACACTGTCTTTTCCACCTTCAGTGGATTTTGGATCCATTTTTACGTTGTAGTTTAACTAAAATTTCTAAGAGACTGAACCATAAATACTTTCACAAAAGGTCAATATTTTGGGTCAATGTTTGATTATCCAGCCTCTGCATTTCTACCAGTTACAAATGGCGTACTTGACATTCAAAGCTAAAGTTAAAGATGAATTATTATTTAAGACGTTATAATTTTCATGTTTTGCATAAATAAAAGGTATTCGATAATTATTGACAGGTAATAAATTATTGAGCTGGAATAAGAAGTTAAAATATTGAAGCAGCATAAGTAGCTACTTAGATGCAAATTTGCCAAATTCGTCTGCTAAAGAATCTTGCTAAAGAACATAAAACGTTTGTCAGTCTCTTTAACTAAATCTGACCCACTTTCAATTAATCAAGAATTAAATTAAGTAGACTAATTAATAGTCTCAAATATATTTATTCCTTGATTTAAAAAATTAATTAAAGGAATTGAAGTGATTGAGGATTTTATTTTGAAAAAAATTCATTTGTTTACAAATTTTTATCCATTTATTTCGACAACAGGGCTCAAACCCGAGACTTGGCTGACGTGTTAACAAGTGCGGCGCTACAAGATGTCAGCCGCCATGAAACTCATAGATCAAACAATATTTTTACTATTATTTTCATTTTATATTTGTGTTAATTCCGGTAAAATATCCGACCTTAAACTCTGTGCTGATGAAGATTGTCAAGGTGATTTCATACTTTGAGTAGTTGTCACAATGTAAAGGGATTATGTGCTAAACATCTGCTGAGAAATGTCCCCACAAACTCGGACACTATCCATCCACACCGGCACCTCTACCCACACCATGTCCATCGTCTACAATCATTCACGTTAATTATCACTGAAATCTCCCAATGTAGATGCATTTGTATTTGAGTGATATTTTCTGTAAAAATTCTAAGTATTTTGTTACGGCAGCATGTGTTTTCAAATAGGAAGTAACTATTGTTATGAAAGCTATGATCTTCGTAATTATTTTTTTAGGGTAAGGTAGGGATGGCCATTTCTTACTAGCTGCCCTTTAAATCCTTGTTAGGGTTAGTTTTAGGATTTGGAAGAGTTCTTTATTGTATAAAACAAAAGATACCCAGATGTATAGTCTGCAGTAACTATAGACAATTTATTTCAAAGTAAAGTTGCTCTATCCTATGCCTTCCAAATAATCTTTTTTTCATTAAATACTTTTTCAAACAACCAAATGATTTATAAAATAAGTTATCATTTCTTTAATTTTTTTCCAGCAACTATAAGTAAAGCTCAAGCCCTAGCAAATTATAATCCAAATGATCCAACATTTCTCTCTTTTAAAAGAGGTTCTGTGATATCCGTGAAGAGTAAATCAGCTGGTTCCAGACCAGATCTATGGAGTGGTGAGGTAGGTGGTGTTTTCATTTTAAAGGATCAACATTAACATGTTTGAACTAAAAAAGGACATGAACACATCTAGTTTAATCATGGTGCTTTATTATCACTTTTTTTTATGCTGTTTTATTTTAGATAAATGGAGTTCGTGGATATTTTCCATATGCATTTGTACGTGAATTTGATGTTGCTCATAGGAAATTAGACCATATCGTACCTACAGAGGTAAGAACAATATTTTTTTACTTTGTAACAGACTCTTTATTTGAAACTAAAGGATTGATTCTGTATTAATGAACTATCTCAATTATTGTTGAATTTGACAAACTGAATTTGGTTTTATTTTAGAAACATCTTTCACCTGGTGAATTAGCTTTGCAAAAAAGTGAAGATGCTAAAAAACAACAGGAAGTGACAAAAGAAGCACCTTCTGATCAAGAAGAGAAAAATGCGGCTACTCAAGATGAAGTTGCTAAGCGACCAGATACAGTTGCTGCACCTGTCAAAGATAGCCAAAAACATGATACTCAAGCAAATATCCCGCCACCACCTTTCAAAGAAACTGGTGCAGCTCAGACTCAAGACCCTGCTACTACACAGAAACAAAATGTTGCTGCCAAAGAAGAGGTGGCACAGCCTGCAACAACAGACCACAAACTGAAAGTAGGAGAAGGGGTTATAATGGGTAACAACAACCAAGAGGGAGTAGATAATATGAAAGTAGCAGAAGAAGAAATTGATGATACAGAGGTAGATGTAGAGCCAGAATCACAAACTCAGACTTCAAAAGGTAAATTCTGAAATTGTCCCTGTAATGATTCTTGTTTTGTGTCTTACTTAATTTGAGGCTTTATAGGAATAGGAATTTCAAAATCTGTTTTTCTCTTTTTTTGTAGATGATGTAAAAGAAAGTATTTTACCTAAGGTCAGTTCATTTCTGTATGATAAATCATTCAATACAATTTTCAGTGATATTTTTGTAACCTAGGCCAGTGCTTCTATTGAAACTATTTTCTATAACACCTTATAGAAAAAGAAGTCCTCTGTCACTGAATTAATTATTCCTTTCAGCCTAACAAAATAGTTTTGTTACTTTCCACTTGTTTCAAACAATATCGTTGATTTGTCTATAGTTTTTATCTCAACGAAATCAGATTAAACCAGGACATTTTTGTAAAATTCTTAGCAGAAGTTATTCTCATACCATACCAACCATGATAAAAACAAAAACATATGTTTATAAATGTATAATTCTTGAGTTTCATTTAGTAAAGAAGGTGTTATTGACTTTTGGTCTTGGGCATGATCCCTGATAGTAGGTTTATAAAATGGTAAATGGGTAGCCAAACATGCTGTCTGTAACTTGATGTATTTTCATTAGGTTGATGAAGGTAAGACTGATGATAGTGAAATAGATGAGACTGAACTAGAGGATTATGATGAAGATCATGATGACAATAAAGATGTGGATGAAACTGAAGTTCCTGATGATGATGACAGTTGGTCCTTTGCAAGTAGGTCTTTTGTAGTTTAAGATAGTAACTTTGAGAATTTCTGGTTGATTAAACTTTTCATACATCTTTAAAGGGCTTCAATCTATTGAATATCTGTTTTTATTGAATGGTACAAGAACAGTGATGTGTAAAGCTGAGTGAACTGTGATAGCAAATATTTTGATGACTGTATCCCATCTGGGATAAAGGTGCCATTTTTCATAACTGATTTTTTTTATACCAGTACTGTGAAAGTTAAAGTTCTCTTTGAAAATTGATCCATAAAATCCGTATTTCTATTGTCAAATCGCAAATTATAGATCAGGGTACATACTTATTATCAGAATTAAAAATGATCTTTGCTGGTGGAAAATCTATTCTTATATACAGAAATCAATGCTTGTATGGCTTACAGAAGATTTCTATCCATCATGCTGCTTGTTTTTCGCTTTTTGAAGAATTTACATATCAGACATTTTCTTTTGCATGATACAGAAAAGATCCTTTCTATATCAGTCATGATTGTTCAATTCATTTTTGAGACTTTGTTTTAATGTAACTCTATTGTCAGATGTTACCAAAAATATTTTTGTCTCTATTGTTCCTTAAAAGTTGTTTACTTTCAGTTTTGACTTTTGGCATGTGATAATCAACTTGTCTGTCTGCTGCATGACTTATTGTAATTTCACTTTGTTTATAAATAGAATCTTTTGTTTGCAGACGACAACAAGAATAAGAATGAAAATGCAGCAGATAAAATTGATGAAATGTTTTCACATCTGAATGACATTTCTCCTCAAAATGTTGACAAGCATTCTGCAGAAGGTTACTATAAATAGAATCATAGTGTACTCAGTTTTAGTTTAATTATCCCCCCTTGGCTTAATTCTAACTCTTCAATATGAACAATAAAGATGCTTCTTTTTCATTACAAAAGATGTTTGGAATGAGAACTATGAAATTAGAACCATGAAATTAGAACTTTGAAATTAGAACTTTATAGAATACAAACTATGAAATTAGAAAGACAAACTATCAAAAAAGAAATATGCACTATGAAATTAGAACTTTGAAATTAGAATACGAACTATGAAATTAGAAATACAAACTATCAAAAAAGAAATATGCACTATGAAATTAGAACTTTGAAATTAGAATACGAACTATGAAATTAGAAATACAAACTATCAAAAAAGAAATAAGCACTATGAAATAACTATCAAATACAAACTATGAAATTAGAACTATGAAATTAGAACTATAAAATTAGAAAAACGAACTATGAAATTAGAAATACAAACTATGAAATAAGAAATATGAACTATGAAATAATAACTGAAATAAGAAATTGAATGATAATTTACTGAATTATTCAAATAAAGTTAAAAATGATGTGAAATGTATAAAAAAAAAAGATCCATCTTTATTGTTGAAATATCTAATAGATCATTTGGTTTGCAGAGTTCTGTATGGCAACTACTTTAGTGAACTGATCAATTCTTCAAATTAATTCAATACACTTTATAATTCTGTAGTGTTCTGGGTAGTCTGTATGCTTTATTCCAGTGAATTGATATATTTCTTTGATCAGAAAAAATAATTTGTCTTTGTGGAATTTTTGCAAAAAAGAAAAAAAAGCCAAACATTGTTTTTTTGAAAAGTCTAGCAAAATTACATTGGCAATCAGTGCTGATTATATGCTCTACAATACAGATTTTTTTCATTGTGATGTACTTAAATTATGATTTATCTGAAGAATTGATTAGTTAATCTTAATAGATAAATGTCCCACTTATGTTGTATCACCATTTTGTAACTTTTAATGATTCACCCATTTTGTTTTAATGTCTTGGTTTTATGTTAGTCTCACCCCTCACTGATATATGTACATTATCATCACATGTCAGGGGCACAACTTTGGTCTTTTGGATCTGGCAACCTTGTCTTTTTTTTTCTTGAAGGTTCCAACTTCCAAAAAATGAATTCCATCCCCAATATTTTTTTTAAAGTTATAAATTTTTTGTATTGGAGTACTTTTCTAGTTGTGCTCTCGAAATGAAATTGACATATGAGCATATATACTTTTTTCTGAGCTATCTTTTTGATGAACACAACATAACATATATTTTGATTGTTTCTAAAGCATCTGATCTCATTGGTGGAATGGCTTTAATGCATTTACTTGCTCACTTGGCATGATTTTATATATGACTTAGTTTATATATGACTTACAGTAGTTTATATATGACCACAGTAGTTTATATATGACTTACAGTAGTTTATATATGACTTACAGTAGTTTATATATGACTTACAGTCGTTTATATAAGACTATGTATGACTTAGTTTATATATGACTACTGTAGTTTATATATGACTTACAGTAGCTTACATATGACTTACAGTAGTTTATATATGACTTACAGTAGTTTATATATGACTTACAGTAGTTTATATATGACCACAGTAGTTTATATAAGACTATGTATGACTTAGTTTATATATGACTACTGTAGTTTATATATGACTACTGTAGTTTATATATGACTTAAAGTAGTTTACATATGACTTAATGGCTACTGTGGTTTATGTAAGACTATGTATGACTTAGTTTATATATGACTTAGGTTATATATGACTTACAGTAGTTTATATATGACTATGTAAGACTTGCAGTAGTTAAATAATGACTAAGATTATGTAATGACTACAGTAGTTTATATAATGACTAAGATGACTAAGTTTATATAATATCATGCATGGCTTGGTTTATGTATTACTTGTATGCTGTAGTTTATATATCATGACTGTGTTTATGTATGACTTAGTGCATTTTTTTAAAACACACGTTAATAGAATTTATATGATTCATTTTATTTCAATTTTAATTTTGTATATGGTTAGAATTTTTCAGTTTCTTTTCCAAATGAATGTGAATGATTATGTTTCTGGACATATTTTTGTGACAAAGGACCAAATTGGTAAAAATATTTTGCTGTCTATTCCAGATTTGAACAAATATTTGAAGAACACATTCTCAGGTGGCAGTGATGAAACAGAGTTGAAGGAAGAAAAGATTGAAAATGCAGACACTCCCCAGGAATTGGAAGCCAAAAGACCTGAGATTATGAAAGAAAGCATTCAAAAAGAGCTGGAAAAAGACAAGACTTCACAGGTCAAAGAAGAAAAGGAACTTCCAAAAGATGCTTTGCCAAAAGACACATTTGATGTGAGATTGGATGATGAGGAAGAAGATGCTACAGAAATTATGGATGAAGAAGCGTTGACTGACTCCTTTGTAAAAATTTCTGGAGAGCAGACCGAGCAAGATCCTCAAAATTCTCCTGAGGTCCAAAAATCAGAAGAGAAAACCCCTCCTCTGGCTAATCAAGAACCACCAGTTGTATCTAAAGCTCCTCCTGTAGAAGATAAACCTATAGTTGAAGTTTTGCGCAAAGAAGACCTGGATGGATTGGATTCCCAGAAGAATGAACAGATGCCTGCTCAGAAGCCAGATATTCCAGCCGAAACGGTTCCTGATGCTACAGCTACACAGGAAACTGAAAAACCTCCAGAGAGACTAACTGAAGTACCACAACAGACTGAAGACTGTGGAATCAATGCCACACCCACTCAAACTCCACCCACTGCCGATAAAGGTGTTCCTGATGCTGCCAAAACCTCCCAAATAGTGATTGATGGCACAACCATTGATCTCAATGAAGACTATGAAAATTCATTACTTTACACTTCCAGCCAGTTGGATATTGAAAGCTCTACTGGTCAGCTGAATCATGTTGATAATTTGGCATCGGATCAACAGATGCATTCGCCAGCTGAACAAATTATGGCCAGTGCCGATCCTCTACACCAGGAAGATCACAATGGGGATCCTATTGTTGATATTCTCCAACACAAAATTGATTCTATTCCAGCTCAACCTGATCTTCACCTCAAGCCTGAATCACCCAGCGCCTACCAGAGTAATGATTACTTGTCCAGAAAACCATTAGCAGTAAACGCTCAAAGTGTTGGTCAGGCTCCTGTTGCATCATCTCAAGATGCTCCTTCATCTGGAGAGAAAGCTTACCAAACTAATCAACAACCAGTTTATAATCAAGATTTGCCCAAAGACAACGCTGGGTCTTTAGATATTTTGGACTTGAATCCTGTGGATAATTCAAATCAACAACAAAATGAACCTCATTCTCAAGTGGAAATAGAAAATCGAGACCCTTCACAGTCCAAGGACTGGCCAAATGGTAATGAGCAAGAAAAGGAAACATTAGGTGATACTGAAGTGAAAGAGGAAGTCTTTGCTGAAGTCACTACTCATCCTCCTGTTGTAGGTGAACCAATCCCACCTCCTCTTGAAGAGTTCACTAAAGTACCTGAACCAGTTATTGCTACTGAGGCCACTACCAAAGCCTCAACTCAGGCATCTGTAACTGATGCCACAACACAAACACAGACTAAGACTACCACAGAAACTGATCCTGTGACTAAATCTACAACACAATCTACATATGGCTCAGATCAATTACCAGAGGACAACAAGCAAGAGTCTGTCAAAAACCAAGAGACATACGACGGAGAACCAGTCATCCCATACGATGAATTTCCCACACCAGACAATATGGAAGACAGTTTCAGTGATATTCCTGAAGAAAGGATCAGGGAAAGTAAGAGTCTAGATGGAGTACCACCAACTGATGATGATCCTTATAAAACTGATCCTGTTTCCAGTAGAAAGATGACTGATGAGCATCTGGAAGATGATCAGTTTGGAGTACCTCCTAAACGTAATGGTTTATTTGATAGATTGTTCTCACCAATTCTCAGTGTAGTAAGTATTTTTATACGCCCACATCTCTCTATGTGGACGTATATTGTCGGTCGGTCTGTCAACCTTTGCTTGTAAACTTTCTAAAAACTAGATTTTTTGATGGAATCAAATAAAATTCGATATGTGTATACATATTCATAAAACGAAGATGGAATTTGAATATTTACCATCCGCATGCCGTGGTGGGCGTATGTGGTCCACTATCTTATGATTTTAGAGGTGCTGATTAGTGATTAGATTTACTAACATTGGGGACAGTAAACCAGGCTCGTTGGCTACAAACTGTCCATGTTAAAAATTGTGCAAGTTCCTTTCCAAATCATATGCTATGTGGCTTTTACATTATTTTGGAAAATAACATCATATGCTTGCCAGTTTTTAAGCAATGAATAAACCACACAGACACCAGAAAATGAGAATAGTAGAAAGATTTGATGTTAGTGCCCCTTATATACCTATAAAGTCTTGCAAAAATAATGCAATGATTATGTACTTTTGTCATTTCAGTTACCAGGATTCTTGGGACGTATATTAGATCAGGAACCATTAGGACTATCACCAGCTATGACTTTACTTATGATTATAACTACATTTATTATATTGACTATTACTACTTGCTGTAGCCGTAGCTCTTCAGGGGTAAGCCATATTGTTTTTTTTTTTTTTTTTGTTACTGGGTTTCTAGGGATTTTGTGGATTAACTAATCACATAGTTGTATTGAAAATCATCGACGAAAAAGTATGTTAAGAATTCTATATGCAGGATATACTCAATATACAGGAATATAATGCTTACATTTTTATTTTTAGGGTGGAAAGAAAACTGCAGACGCACTTGGTAAGTATTTTCTCCATTTCCTTTTCCTAACCCTATGTCAATCTCCATGGTAACCACAATAATGCCCATTTTATGATAGCATTATTTCTGAAAATCATTTTGTCATTGTCATCATCATGGTTTTATCATTATTATTGTCATCATCATCATTATTATGTTATTATCATCATCATCAATAAAATTCTATTATAGCTGTAGTAAGAAAGTTAGAAGAGAAGTTGTTTATTGAAACTAAAGAAAAAGAAAATCTAGAAGATGCTTTAAATCAAGCCAAGAAAGAGGTAATTTCCTCTGTCTATTTCTGCATGTTTTTTAATTTTCAAATCTTTATTTATTCTTTCTTTTTGGAAGTTTTGTTGAAGTAAAAATCTGGTCAATTTATTTTGTTTATTACTAAATATCTATTAATGATCTAAAAGCAGAGTTAAAACTGATCACATCATGAAAAAATGAAGTTCATAATAAAGAAAATATGTGTCCCAAAGAAAGACATGATTTTTTGTAATTTTTGTTATTGTTAAAGAGGCACAATTATCCCCTTTAAATGTTAATTTGACTTATTTTGAATTATAAATTTATAGATAATTGATTATGAAAAGAAACTAACCAATCAGCAATCTAAATCTGGTTCACATAAGGCAGATTTACAAAACTTACAAGTAAGTACAAATTTATACAATGTCTTTGAAAATGGTTATTTGATGGTACCTTTTTTGTCATAATAGTAGCTCCATATGACATGCAATAATAAATAAACCAAATACTAACAAGAACCACAAACAATCCAAAATGCAAGAATGTGCTGACTAAAATCTTAGTGAGATGATTCTACTGACAATACATGACGTTACTTAGATAGAGCTGGGAAATATACCAGTATTGCAGTAAATAAAGGTATAAGAATTAACATAAGGACTATATTATTGAGATATTCACTAATATTGATATCGCTCAGCCCTATATTTAGACCAAAATAAATCATGAAGCATTTTAAAGTGTGGACATTGGACAAAGAAATTTATTGGAATTTTGTATCATTTCTATAAAGCCTTGAAGTGATTGGTAAGTATTCTGCATTAAAAACCTTGATGATAAGTACAATGTTCAATCTTGTAGATATAACAATGCATCATTTTCCTTCTAATTTTTTACAGCTCCATAATGAGTCACTAAAACAACAAGTAGTAAGTTTTCAGACACAGATAAAGGAATATAATGATGAGGTGAAAGATATACAGGGTGCTTCTCATGGTAAAGATAAAAAGGTAATAACTTTTCACTCTCCTTAATGTGCACCCCTTATTTTGCAAGCTCATTTGGGGGTAAAAATTGAGCACTATACACCTAGACAAAGGTGTCTAAATTATTGAAAACTTTACCAAGTAAAAATTTAATGTGGCAAGAGATTAATGAATGAAATTGGTATAGACGTCTGTTCATATTTGAAACATTTAGATGGAAACTTATTCAAATGAATTTTGATACCAGCAGATCACAAAAACATTAAAATGGTCAAATCCTCTAGATTTCCTTCCCAAATCTGTAGCCTACACTATTTTTAACACTGGATGATGTCATATGATTTTACTTCTATTTATTTGGTTTATTGTAGGTAAAAGATTTAGAGAAACAAGTCAATAAATTAGAAGAAAGAGCAAAGAAGGCTGAAAAGGCTCTAGATAAGGTAACTATGGCAACAAAATAAATATTGAAAGATTGCTATATTATGTAACAGAAACAACAAAGTCTAACTTTGAAATATAAATAATGTCTTTAGTCTTGGGTGTAAGTTCTTAAGGATCCATTCTATCAGCTGATATAAGAAGTGATTTTTTATTATTTGATCTTGCAAATGAATTCAATTGCTTCTCACGACTTGATTTTGTTTTCTGTAGAAATGTAAAGAAATAGAAGATAATAAAGAAGAGGTAGAAACTAAAAGATCTCAAATGAAAAGTTTATCTGATCAAGTTCAACAATTAGAAATTAGAAAACAACAAGTGAGTATTCATGTTCTCTTTTCTACACACACCACCCAATGTTATCTGCTGTTAGCTTTACAATTTAAGACAACCGGAGGCTGTTGGGGTCATAACTTTAAGATAATTGTAAATGTATAGTATTTAGAGCTACTATGGTTACAATGAATCGTATTTCTAGATGTTAACTTTTCAATGATAAATCCCCTGATTTGTGCAAAATTTCATATATCAATCATCGATATTCAAGACCATAATAAAATTGGTTTGGTTTATAATTTCAGCTGTTATCAGAAGCTGCTGATTGGAAGGAAAAGTAAGTTACCCCTTAACTTTATCTTTAATTAGTCCAGCAACCAACACACACACACAGCTCCTACCTTCTATTACTGCTTAAAACCAGATCTCAAATATAACAAAGTCATATGACTACCATACTAGTAATGAAATAGGATTCCGAGTGTCTTCAGTCTAAGGACTATATTTTACACTTTCTTCAACCCTGTTCAATCTATGATAGGTAGTCATATGATCAATACTTTTATCTGAATTTCCCTTATTGCACACTGTCTATCTTGTCTTCATCATACATCATTTCTATTTGAGAAGGTATGTACTATTTTCTAATGGTTATTCTGTATTTTAGAGTGGAAGATTTAAATGAACGATTATATCAAAGAGATGAAGAATTTAAACAGATGCAAGAATCAGTCACGTTTAAAGATAGTGAATTAGAGGTATATGTCTTTCTGTAAACTTTATATCATAGGTCCTCATTGTTACAGGTTTAGAAAAACATTTGAGGCTCAAATTTTCAGTTTCTTTGAACACTGATTGTGAATAAAATAAAACTCTAAGTATTATGAATTTAAGCTTAGAAATATTAAAACATAATCTTAAAAAAAACATGTTGTTAAAGAGAGTTTCATGCAATGCAATCTTTAGACATCTGACCTATTTCAGCCTATGTTCCTACTGAAGTTGAATAGCTTATGATGTTAACATTATATGATGTCACTCAGTAATGGCCGCCTCACTTGCTGCTCGGGTATATGTCAAGTAAATAACTTGCCGGTAGAGCAGACGCTACTGTTTGAAGGGTTAAATTAATTATTACTATCTCTACTTAATTTAAGCATGTTTCAGAAATTAAGGATCACTCGTGTAAAATATTTTCTTGTAATTATTTAGGTGTTAAAGGAATGCTTCCTGCAATTAAAAGCATTTGAAGATGAAAGTGAAATGAAAGAAGATCCATCAGAAAGTAGTATAGCAGTACAAGATAAACTACAGACTATGATAGATGTAGCCAAGGTAAGTACACCTAATGAATTTTGAGGGACAAATCCATATCTGGTACAACACATTTTAGTACATGTAACATATTCTGTGTGGGCAGAATTGGGTGAGACTGAGCCTGAACAGAACTCTCCAATCCAGTGATAATTATTTTAGATGAGAAGTTTTAGAAATTAGTAAATTTAATACAATATATTTATGTGTTTAGGTAAATGCCACATTACGAGCTGTACAAGATGAAAAAGATACATTGACTAACAGATTAGAGATTGAAACAGAGGCTAGAAAAGAAGCAGAAGGTACAAAATATTTTCATCCTTACTGTAGTTCAAGGAAGGCAGATTTGATTTAACTAAGTTAAACTTGATTTTCCTGTTAGATCATTTATCCTAGCACAATTAATCTAATAAAGGAACTCAAAGTCAGATTTTCATTCTAAAAAGGGATACTGTTGGAATGACTGTACTTTTTTAGATTTTATTTTGCAGTTTCCTACACTCTTAGACTGTACATTATATTTGTATCATTTTCAGAGAGTCCACAAAGCTGTTCCTTGATAATATTTATTGTTGATCTAACCCATTTGTCTTCTCTTCCAGATCAGTTAGATAAAGCCAGACTGAATATGGAATCATTCCAGGCAGATAAAATGAAGGCTGAAAGACAATTTCAGGAATCTCAGACTAAACTAAATGTATTGTCTAATTATTTTAAAGAAAAAGAAATGCAATTACAGAGGTAATTTCAAAAATAACAAAAAATGACTTTTAATCTATGTTTAGAAAATCAGGAAACATGTGAAATTTATGATTCCTTCAAACTGAGTTTCAGAGTCATTTCCTACTTTTTGCACCTGATTGGGATAATGAAGACAGTCAATGCCATGCAGTGTGCAATGAGGGAAATTTTGCAATGACAGTCTACTCTTGTTTCAATTTCCGAACTATAATCTGAAGAGTAGAATGATAATGTTATCTGATGTCACTAAGTTGTATCAGGTGTTTAATCTGGCTGGTAAGGAAGGTGCTTGTTTTAAAATGTTATTTTTGAAATAATTTCGCATCCTTATTTTAATTTGATAGAGAGTTAGGTGAACAAGAGGTATTAAAAAAACAGAATATTAATAAATTAAACTCAGTAGATGAGAAATCTAAACAAACAGAAGAAGAAAGAGCTATGTATAAGTAAGTAATGGTTTTTATATGATGCTGTTTGTGAAAGCTAGAGAAGAAGCGCCCTCTTGTCATCATTGAACTTTAAGGTCAAAAAACTGACTTTTTGCTTGAAATTTTCTTTCCAAGAAAGTTTTCAACGAATGGATGCACATATGACCTTTTTTAAGATTTTGAAAACTATTAACGGTAGATGGTTCAAAATGAGTGTAGACATGCGCATAAAACTCTATATTGAAAAAAATGTTTTTGGTTCATCATTAGCAGACCACAACTTGTTATTTGTTCTCCTTTCTTTGCCAGTGCCTTTCGACTTTGAATAAAAATTAAGGACGATCATTTACCCTGTAAAGCCATCATTAACAGTATTTGTCTAAAATGTACTGTATATATATTTTATCTAGACAACAAGTAGAGAGTTTAAAGAGAGAATTAGAAGCAGCAGATCGTGATTTTAGAGCTCAGGTATGTTTTGTTTCTGTTATTTCTCCATAACTGGGTTGTCATAGTAACACAATTTATTTTTGAATTACATTTCATCTCTTTATGTTGTAGAGAAATGAACAGAAGACTCTTTGTTATTATAAACTATGGCTTCTGACCTGATGCAAATAATAATTTTCCAATATGTGTATTTATTTTTGTAGATTGCTGCCAATGAACAAAAGGCTCATGAAAATTGGGTGAGTAACTTTCCTAAACATTGTTCTTAAAACCATGTCCCTTATCAATGAATATATAGAGCAGTGGTTCACTATATCCTAATAGCCTCTTATGATCCAGGGCACATATTCTCGAAAAGATCTTAGCACTACAATATCCTAGAAACAGTGTTAGAAGTTAAGAACCTAGGACATCCTAGCACTAAGATCAGCACTAAGATCGAGAATACGGGGCCAAGAATTTTAAACATCAAAACAATAGTATTCTAATATTATTCACAAGTTTCTTGCGTGTCATCATTTTACAAAACAAAACTTAGAAATTGTTAGGTGCAAGTGTTGGGTGACATCATGAAAATTTATTACCTCAGTGTCACAATCTGAGTTTTACCTGCTAAAGGAAAACATGGTAGAAATACATAATAGTTATCAATGTTTTGAAGAGAAGATGATCCATTATGAAAATAATGGTCTATATTGAAGCTCTGAATTAAATCCAAACATGAGAGGTAATTGGAATTATGATTTCAGATTGCTGCCAGAACAGCTGAAAGAGAATTAAAAGAATCCAGACATCAGAATACAACATTACGACAGAGATTGACAGATTTCACTCGTAAACCTGGTCCTGAGGGATTAATACGACCACTACCAACTAGAGGTTTACCACCAGGTAACCTTTTAATCCAAAATTAATTTCAATCATTAATCCATTTAAAGATGGGTTCCCATATTTTCATTAATGAAAATGATAATACTTATATGAATAGAAAGTAGAGGTGTTATAATGACTTGGAAAAATACAAGTTTGTATCACATGTCCATAATTAATTCATAATAGCTAGATTAGAAGAGAATTACCAGCAGAATTCCAATGAGTGACCGATCAAGAAAATGTCTTTTTTTTCGTTTATCCAGACTGTACATACATGGACATTTATGATTGGTTCAAACTCTTAATTATATGCAATAAGAACATAATGATATGATTAAGAATAATCCATAAGAAACACCAATTAATCAAATAGTTTGCTTAATTTGATACTAAAAAATAAGGAAACCCATCTTTAAATTGTCAAGTTGATACAGTAAATCTTTGAGAATTTGTAGTGCCTGAAATCAGCTGTCCAAATAGCTTTCAGCAGCAAGAATTTAGCTATTTTGAATGTATGAAAAAGAATTCTGATAATTCTGAACCAATTTGTTATTGATTTCAGTGTTATATCTTTATGTTTATAGGGATGATGAATGGTCCACCAATGCCTTTACCTCCAGGAATGGATCGACCTCCAGTTGAAAGGTCACCATCGCGTGGTTCTTTACCTCCACCCCATCCTCCAAGGTAAATTTCATTTGCTATGTTTGTAAAGGGATAAAAATCTGGTTGATTTTAGCTATCTGGATCACTTATCAGAAGTAAAATCTCATATCCAGTTCCCCTAAAATAGCAAAATTGTTTAAATATGCATGTCTAATGTGGTCTTATTTGATTCCTACCTTCTTACGTAATCACTTGGCAGTTACTCACATTGACCAGTGAGATTACTCACTCATTCACATATTTTCTATTTGCAGTGGAGATTATTACAATGATAGATTACCTCCCCCTGATAGAAGATTACCACCAGGTGGCCCAAGATTACCTCCACCACCATTAGATGCTAGATCACCACCTCCATTTGACAGACGGCCTCCTCCTCCACATTTAGACAGAAGAACACCTCCTTATAGGCCCCCACATCCAGATATGATGCCTCCTTATCGAGGTCCCCCTCCTCAAAGAGATGGTATAACCTCCCCACCCCCATTAGGTCCTCCTGGATATGATCCAAGATTAGGTAAGTCACTGTAAATTATTTAAAAGAAATTTTAAGTATTGTCTTATAAAACTACAGCATGTAAAAAAAGGTTTCATTATGATCAAAGAGGGGTGGTTGATGAATTAGGTGATTGACCAATAAGAAGTCAAAGAAAATTGAAATGATTTAAAAGTTGCGTGAAAAGGATTCAAGATTTTGTCCACCAGCTTTTCAGTTTTGATGAGTCCAGATCATAAGAAAGCCCCAAAAATTCAAATGGGCTTAAAGTCAAAAAAACAACAGAAGAATGCTTGGGCTGCATCCATGTCACCTAAGTGATTAAAATGGGCTCATTTTGCTGTTTAGGAATTTTGCAGAAAAAAACAGCGTATAGGCACAGATAGTCTTGCCATGTTCAGCAAGTTGATCTTCTAAAAATTGCATCATTCATGGTAACCAACGCGTTTCTATTGGTTAGCTACTTTTTCTAGCTCAGCCGTCAGCTAAGACACCCGCGCACGGTAAATTTCTGGCCTCTTGAGGCAGAAAATATCAAACAAGATAGATTTTTTCTCACAGCCTCTCGAGGCAGAAATCTCACTAAAACTTCAGCGCACATGGGGAAAAGAGTCCAGCTGTCAACCTCTTGAGGCAGGCAGCTCAGCTAGTTCCTCTCGTCTGCAGCAGGCTTTACATGCATTGGTATTAATTTCAGGTCCCAGAACTTCATCGCCTTATACCAGACCCCCTCCTCCTGGAGCACCTCCTAGAGATATGAGAGATAAACCTCCACCAAGACAACAGAGTCAAGTGTGATAAGATATTGAACAGACGCTCTCATGACCTGATTGTGATACTTATAGAATTCGGAAATAGGGTGATGGGTGTAATTCTGGTTAAGGATTGAATTCGAACTGAAGATAATTTGACACCAAATCATGAAAATTTTAATTGAAATTTGCTTCAGCTGGTTTGGATATCAGTTGAATTGTGATAAGCCGAATATAGTTTGCCAGAAAGAAAGGTCATTCTTAAATCTACGCATAACTCAGTATTTTGTATATATTTTAGTGCATTGTGGCCTTTTTTGTCATGCTTATTCTGGTCACTGGAGCTCAATTAACTCATAGCAGGCTTATTACATGATATATCTATAAGCTGAACTGCTTAAAAAGTAAGATCTGTTTATGACCTAATTTGATTAAAAACACTTCAGGTATAAAATCAGGCAGGACTGGTAATACTGCACAATCAACAACCCTGAATAAAATGGTTATCAGAAATGTATGAAGGTTGTATATTAGATTCGCAAAAGATATATTATGTAATTAAGTTAATTATGTTATTGAGCTCCTCATATCCAAACGGTATGATTTTAATGCCAATGATATATTTAAGCCATCGAAACTAGTCATTCAACAAATAATTATGTACATACCCTTGCATATGTAATTATGCTTTAATAATGATGTGCTTGTATGATATTCATAAGACTAGTGCAAGTTGGTAATTTTTTGTGTTTCTTGTTAGTGTGGAAAATGTTTATCCAGTTGACAAAGGAGTTGGTCAAAGTATTTCAAAGAAATGGTAAATGGAATCATTTTTGAAATAGTACTGTTTTAGCTTTATATTGTATGTTGAACTCAGTTTTTCGTCCAGAATTAATGTTTATTTATGATGTCATAGTGGAACTCTCTTCAGTAAAAACCTCATAAGGTATGCAGTATTTAAAATATTCAAAAAAACATGGGACATACACAATCTTATTATTTAAGAACCAGGTCTGTAAATTTTTGAATGGGTAAACATCCATGATGTAAGTGATTGACATATTAAGTCCCGCCTTTTTCACAGGCTTTTGTCATGACATCCTAAATAATGAATGAAAACTGACTTAAGCTTTTTTTAGGAGAGTTCACCATTAGTTTAATGTATTTTAACTGTTGTCTCATTGTTATGTTTTAGTGTAGGATTAGTGTAAATGGTTGGTTGCCATGGTTATGGAATATAATATTGTTGTTTTATAATAAATAATTTTAATACAGGAACCATAATGATACGGTTCTGTTTTAATTTATTTCCACCTATTATTATGTACAGTATATAACAGTATATGTCATGTATGCTTGCATGAAGCCTGTCTTATTCATGAAGCATGTCTTATTCATGTTTTACAGATGCCTAAAACTTCAGAGTTCTCCACTGAAAATGGATGCCAAGGCATTGCAAGCATTTTTGCTTTCTGCCACCTTTTATGTTTCCTAGGTAACATAATGTTTAAATTTGTCAATTCAGAGCTCAAAATTGAATAACATGAACTTCATAAAATTCTTGCAAATAGACTTTTCATATCGGCCTTTTCAAATATCCCTGTTTCTGAAATTGAAAATTTGGATGCCAGACTCAAAGCATTTGGCAGTTGGTCACACATATATGACTTTTATTTGATAGTTTCCTGGAGTTTCTCCTGACTAAGGTTAGCTACTGAAATATCAGTATGTACTTTGACTATTCCAATGTTGTATTTGTTTTATTATTAGTATAATTATGTAAAATATTGCATTAAAATTCTGTTAATAATAATAATAGAACTATTTGTATATATTAGATTGTAAATGATATTAGATGTCTGTAAAGTTTGATTTCATTCATTTTGTTTGTGAGCACTCTATCTCTCATTACTGTCTTGGTGTATATTTGTCTTCAAATCTTGATCTTTACTAACTCCTCATTGAAGAGTTGATTTCTGAATTGTTTGTGATGGAAAGGACATAATTATGATGTGTGAATATGCTCTGCAATTCTGAATGATGTGTATGTTATATACAATTACGTAAAATTTCAACAGTGCTTAAAGAAAACTACCTCTTAGAATGAACAATAAATGTAAGTTTTCAAACATGGCCAAGAAGAGTATATGTTCATCAGTGGACTTACCTGGTGTCATAAACATGGATTTATCAGATTAAAGAGGGATTCTGTTGTAAAGCTATGACACCAATGAATATATACTCTTAGGTATTTTCAATTTTAGACTTGTCCAAAAAAAATGACTGTAAGATAATAGTCCACAATACTGTATAATTGGTAATTGTAAATACTATCAATAAAATAAATCTTCATCTCAACAGATAAATTTCAATTATTTTTTTTAGGATAAAACATGCAATATTTTGAATTGTAGAGAAAAAACTCTGGTACATCTTTTACCAGGGCATACAATATTTGATCATTTTATGATGAGATCTAGCACAAGTTCAAATTTCGTTATTTTCTACTAAAGGGTTTTGAGTTATTGCCCTTGTGTTGTAACACTTAATGCTTAACTGACATCTACTGAGCAAAACTGGCAGAAAATCATGAAACTCAATGTAAATCTGATCCATTTCAGCTGACATTAATAATTGGAAATGGTACCATTGTGTATTCCACAGGAAAACTCAAATACAGAATGAATAAAATCTTTATTTCATAAAGGATAAGCAGTATTTAAAATAATTTCTACACTGTCTTTGTGTTTATATAAGTCTAGCACTACCAAGTAGCGCTGGTCTGTTAATAGTCTAGCACTATTTAACACTGAGTCTATAGCACTGATATCAACAATATCTTCTGATACACCAATATCACACTGTTTAGTTAACACATCACTAAAATCACTAGGATCATCAAGTTCTTTACATATTTTAACAGATGTTATGTCTATTTTACTATTTAAACCCATCCAAGTTATTTTGAAATAGTCTTGTTTCTGAATCGTCATGGCAACATTAGCAGGATCTGTAAGTGAAAATAGAATTTTACTTATACTATACAAATCAAAAAATCAAAACAGCAAATTTTCATTTTGTACATTGTGTCCAAAGTAATTAATACATGTGCTGCTAAATACAATTTTCACCTCGGAAATTGGGCTCAATTCCAATCATATATAAGATGTATACATTTTTCATACAACCTAAATTTCTCCCAAAGAAGGCTTTTTTACAAATGTGCTATGTCCAAAAAACAAAAAATAATATAAAATTGTGCATTTTCAATATTTTCACAAATTTGCAGACATATCAATGAAAAAAGGAAGAAATTTCCAAATGTCAAGAATAAAAAAAATTTATAACCTGTATTTTGATGAGATGGACTATTGGATGGTAAAGAAACCTGAGATACTGGAAGATCAGTTGAAGTAACAGAGAAGACATGATCCTGGTTGTTCTGGTCTATACCTATATGTTGATATTGTTCTTTAGTATCATTCCAATTATTATTTACTATGACGTCCTTCACAACCTATAATAACAATATTTTTGCTAAAAATCTTCCATTCATAAAAAAATAAGGTTTTCTTGGAAAATATAAGAAAACACAATGAAAGTATTGCTAAAAAAAGTAAAAAAAATATTGACATGACCAATTGAAAGAAAATATAGGCCACTTATACAATAAATAATTGCACATCATATTCAATAAATAATTGCACATCTTATTCAATAAATATTTGCACATCATATTCAATAAATATTTACACAACATTTACGAACCTTATGCTGAGATATATTATTTTCTGAATCTTGTAGACTAAAAAAAAATATAATGAACAATGAAAATAATAATCATAAACATCATATAAGACATAATAATAATTTTGATTTCCTACAAATTATTCCCAAAAATACTCTGTACTATGCAGCAAGATCAGGGAGCCACAGTGAGTTAGATGCTTGCATGCTAACCTGAAGGTCCAGGTCCAGGCATAGGTTGAGATAATATTTTATGACCGATTTCCCAAAGGGGGGTGATATGGAAAAAGCTTCTAGATAGGAGGCCCTGTGTGCTACAGGCTATGCCACTGTCCTGGAAAATTACCATATTGCCCACTACATGGCATTGCCCATCTTTTTTAACTCATAAGGTGCTGAAAAGTAGGACTTAAAACTCCATTCATTTCATTTTTAGCAAGTTAAGCTATTGGTACCAACCTGTCATGAGACACTGTAGCCAGTTTATTACAAATAAATTGTATTTGGACCAGAACAGCCTGTACATATAATCTGGTATGTTGTCTGTATACTAAACTATCTTTAGTAAACTTCCACATAGTACTGTTAGTAATCTGAAATATGATTTCCACATAGTACTGTTAGTAATCTGAAATATGATTTCCACATAGTACTGTTAGTAACCTGAAATATGATTTCCACATAGTACTGTTAGTAATCTGAAATAAGATTTCCACATAGTACTGTTAATAATCTGAAATGTGATTTCCACATAATACTGTTAATAATCTGAAATGTGATTTCCACATAGTACTGTTAGTAATCTGAAATATGATTTCCACATAGTACTGTTAGTAATCTGAAATATGATTTCCACATAGTACTGTTAGTAATCTGAAATATGATTTCCACATAGTACTGTTAGTAATCTGAAATATGATTTCCACATAATACTGTTAATAATCTGAAATGTGATTTCCACATAGTACTGTTATTAATCTGAAATGTGATTTCCACATAGTACTGTTAGTAATCTGAAATATGATTTCCACATAGTACTGTTAGTAATCTGAAATGTGATTTCCACATAGTACTATTAGTAATCTGAAATATGATTTCCACATAGTACTGTTAGTAATCTGAAATGTGATTTCCACATAGTACTGTTAGTAATCTGAAATGTGATTTTCACATAGTACTGTTAGTAATCTGAAATATGATTTCCACATAGTACTGTTAGTAATCTGAAATATGATTTCCACATAGTACTGTTAGTAATCTGAAATGTGATTTCCACATAGTACTGTTAGTAATCTGAAATGTGATTTTCACATAGTACTGTTAGTAATCTGAAATATGATTTCCACATAGTACTAATAGTAATCTGAAATATTATTTCCACATAATACTGTTAATAATCTGAAATGTGATTTCCACATAGTACTGTTAGTAATCTGAAATGTGATTTCCACATAGTTCCTTTCAGAAGTTGACACAGCTGCATCAGCCTTCATGCTATTGACTTGATAGTTCACTGTACCTCATAATCAGAATGCTGTGTTTTAAAATCATCCAAATTATCTGGCAGGGGTGGGTATGTGAAATAACCACCATATTTACAATGTAACAACTCTTTTGATTGGTTAGTTCTGTACCATTTAATAAACTGATTCACTATTGGTTGATCTGATAATGCATCAGGGAGATTGTCTGTAATTGTGTTTGCTTGAAACACACTGATCTGAAAAAAAACCACACCATAAAACAGATGCCTCTTCAGGCAGGAAGTGAATTTACTTTGAATGGGTATTCTTGGATCAACACCATTCTGACAAGGTTTGGAGTAAAATAATGGTGTGCGCCATGCATTTTTTTTGCATTAATGTGTAATCTTAATACTCAGATTCCAAGTTGTTTCTATAAAAGGCATATATATTGAAAAGTCATTCTTAGCTATGTATACTCTTGATGTCATTTCATTCAGCCTCTTGTTCAATAATGAAACACAACAATGAAACCTAAAGACACACGAGTGGTGTTCGACCATTTTATTAAATATCCATCTACAAACCTGAGTTTCAGCCACTGAAGACAGATAAAGATGTCTCTTCTGTTTAGAATTAGTTAATAATTGTAAATCTTGTATAACTCTTAAATGTCTACATATTAGAATATCACCTGCTTTTAGATTATCAAAGAGACTATACTGAAAATTAATTGGAATATTTGAGTATATCGAAACACAGTTAAAAATTTACAAGTCAAATGCCATGGTCGTTTTCAATGAATTTCATACATATGATTAAAAAAAAATGGAGTTGTTCATCCTAAATTTCTGCACTTTTTTGGATTACATAGGACGCTTTGCAGTCTGCAATAAGGGAAATTTTACCAGTACAATGGCATTTAAGTTTAATGATTAAACTACTCATTCTTAATTTCCAACTGTCAATGGATGTTCAACCTGTAGCAAACAGGGCCTAAGTTTATTGTCCCCTTCAACAACTATACGCTTTTTCCATGTCAGCCCCTTCAACCTTTATCAATGACAAGTGGAAACTGGGATAAAAAATTTGAAGGTAATATCTGGACCCATTGAGGAAAATGGGACTCGAAGTCTATTCTTGACAGAAATTCCAAGAAAAACAAGTGCTTATTCTGAGGAGCTTCTACTGAAAATTTGGTTGGTTTTGTACAGGTTATAAGATTAAATTCAAATAGATATAGGTCTTAGGAAAAAATCAAATATAAAAGCCAGAAAGTACTATGTACCTGATTTGGTCTATAGAGTTGTATCATAATAGGTTTATAACTAGTATGATCTACTACATGAACCCATCTTGATATCCAATAACATCCACTATCACCTTCTAATCTATCTACAATACATGTCATGGGCAAATAACTCAGAATGTCCTTGATGTATAATCATGACAATTGAACTCAATCTAATCCATCTATAATAATCTTATCTATCAACAGTGCCTAAATTGAATTTGTTCAAAATATATGTATATTTATAAGCATTTAAAGTTGATAAAATCATATTAACTATGAATGCTTTCAAATGGGCATCTTAAAAAGTACATACTTTTCATAAGTTCTCTTCCCATTCTTCCAACAAACTGAACATATCCTATTACATCACACATAGTATTATCATATATTGACCTAATAAAAATATAATATCACATAGTATTATCATATAATATCTCCTATTATTATCATATATTGACCTAATAAAAATATAATATCACATAGTAATATCATATAATATCACATAGTATTATCATATATAGACCTAATAAAAATATAATATCATATAGTATTATCATATAATATAACATAGTATTATCATATAATATCACATAGTATTATCATATATAGACCTAATAAAAATATAATATCACATAGTATTATCATATAATATAACATAGTATTATCATAATGATCTAATCAAAAAATAATATCACAGAGTATTATCATAATGATCTAATCAAAAAATAATATCACATAGTATTATTATCTTCTGATAATCAAAATATATCATCACATAGTATTATCATATACTGACCTAATCAAAAACAATATCACATAGTATATGATATACTGATCTAATCAAAAACAATATCACATAGTACATGATTTACTGATCTAATCAAATTATAAAATCACATAGTATATGATATACTGATCTAATCAAATTATAAAATGACATAGTATATGATATACTGATCTAATCAAATTATAAAATCACATAGTATATGATATACTGATCCAATCAAATTATAATATCAAATAGTATATGATATACTGATCTAATCAAATCATAATATATCATAGTATATAATATACTGATCTAATCAAATTATAATATATCACAAGTATATGATATACTGATCTAATCAAATTATAATATATCATAGTATATGATATACTGATCTAATCAAATTATAATATATCATAGTATATGAAACACTGATCTAATCAAATTATAATATATCATAGTATATGATATACTGATCTAATCAAATTATAATATCACATAGTATATGATATACTGATCTAATCCAATTATAATATATCATAGTATATGATATACTGATCTAATCAAATTATAATATCACATAGTATATGATATACTGATCTAATCAAATTATAATATATCATAGTATATGATATACTGATCTAATCAAATTATAATATCAAATAGTATATGATATACTGATTTAATCAAATTATAATATATCATAGTATTATATACTGATCTAATCAAATTATAATATCACATAGTATATGATATACTGATCTAATCAAATTATAATATCAAATAGTATATGATATACTGATCTAATCAAATTATAAAATCACATAGTATATGATATACTGATCTAATCAAATTATAATATCACATAGTATATGATATACTGATTTAATCAAATTATAATATATCATAGTATATGATATACTGATCTAATCAAATTATAATATCACATAGTATATGATATACTGATCTAATCAAATTATAATATATCATAGTATATGATATACTGATCTAATCAAATTATAATATCACATAGTATATGATATACTGATCTAATCAAATCATAATATATCATAGTATATAATATACTGATCTAATCAAATTATAAAATCACATAGTATAGGATATACTGATCTAATCAAATTATAATATATCATAGTATATGATACACTGATCTAATCAAATTATAATATATCATAGTATATGATATACTGATCTAATCAAATTATAATATCACATAGTATATGATATACTGATCTAATCAAATTATAATATATCATAGTATATGATATACTGATCTAATCAAATTATAATATCACATAGTATATGATATACTGATCTAATCAAATTATAATATCACATAGTATATGATATACTGATCTAATCAAATTATAATATATCATAGTATTATATACTGCCCAAAAAAAAATTCTTTAATTATCATCATCTTCTGATGTAATCAAATAATATCACATAGTATTATCACATGCTAATCTTGTGACACAATGTTACCAAAATTAATAACCTTAAGAAAAATGGCCTATACTAACCTTAATTTTTTCCTGGTCAGAAAATGGTATTGTAACGATGGGATAACATTATCACTGATACTAGTTCTATCAATAATCTTGAGAACTGTCATAGGATGATGTGCATTAATATTAATATCTATTTCAAATATATTACCATATTCTTCTCCTACCTTCCATCTACTACTAGAATGATACGACTTCTTTACTGTAAACATCTGTAGTAATATACACATACCCTCTTTCAGGCTGAAATTAACAGTTTTAATAGTGAATCACTGAGATTTTTATATCCTACCTTCCAAATCAGCAAATCAAATTTCTGCCCTCACCAATGCTGGGATTTTGTGACATGAACAAAAGGTGTATTCTGAAAAGCATCAGAATGCATGTCACAAAATCCCAGCAATGGAGAGGGCAGAAATTTGATTGACTAGCAGTATCATCAAATGGACGAATGTTCAAGAGGCCCATTTTAGACCCTAATTGAAGGGGCTATATTACAAAATAAAAATGAAAATTTAGTCTAAATTTTAAAGTCAGTAAGCAATTATTTATATTCTAAGGCTCATCCATTTTTCATTAAAAAATATGTAGTTTGAAATTAGCCTTGGATTTTTTTTTGACAGAAATATCATTTGATGGTACATACATGTTTAAATATTTAATAGGTAGACTATTCCATAATACAGCAGTACAACAACCAGTTATATCTCCTATTAACATGTGTAACTGAAATATATATAATACATTCAATTACAGTAATGTGTCGATTAATTGGAATATTATTTTCTAAAAGCAGAGTTTAAACTGACTGCAATGGTGAAAATCAAATCATTTTTTTTAAATCTTTAGTCAATGAAGATCATAAAACAATGATTACTCCCTATATTGACTTTGTGCCAGTGCTTTCTGTTGAATAGTAACTTGTTAACTTTCAACCACCCTAATCCATAACTTGCCATAATGTAAATGGAAAAATCATAAATGATTTTAAAAAAATAAATTTCATTAATCTGTTTCCGCATGCAAACAAGATTTTTTTTTTTGACAATCTTTTTATTTTTGAACCTGGCATTCAGGAATTCCACAATAGAGATAAAAGATATTTACCTGGAAAGGATATCTTTCAGATTTACCAGTTTTCACATAATGTAACAATCTAGATATTTTTAGAATTTGTACAACTATAGCTGGTTTTGAACCTTGTAACGTTTTCCATTTTTTACAGATATCTTTTAAACCATAATAATCTCCATATACTTTTCTATTTTCTTCATAATTTCCCTTCTGAATATCTGAAACAAAAAAAGACTTGCCTAGATTTCAAATAAATACTTAAAATGAATAAAATTATTTTTCTATAATGATAACAAAGATGCACTATTGCAAAGGTTCTAAGATATTATTAGCAGTTTTTATCTTCTGTTTACTACAATACTACTGTATAGTAGAATTGCCTTATATGGTCAACAGGTCATGTTCTACCGACCCACTTATCATCATAAGACATGATTGGGTAAATTGGTGACCTTTATAACCATGTGACTCCATTCGTGCAACCCTGTAAATATTATTTATCAAAATTTTCAAAATCCTATTGCGATAATTTAAGAGATGCTCATTTTTACTTTGGAACATCATTTATGTGAGCTTGATTGGATTTGGAAGCTCTCCTGAACTGGTATCCCTTTTATACCTTTCATTTTCATAACCTCAAAGGTAACAGCCTGGTTGAGTTTTACCTGATATACTATGTTGTGAAGAAGAAAGGTCTATATAACCAGTGGACCAGACATCAATATAGTATCTTCTACCACCAGCTAGAGGATGATCTACTTGTTGTTTCAGATTAGTTTCTGGATACCATGGTAGGTTCACTTCATCTAAATATAACATAGAAGTAACTAATTGAGAGGGGGCAAGAATTCACCAAACCATGACATACTTGATCAATATCTGTGGTTCTTGCAATTCCACTAAAACTAAACTCTAGCTCACTAGAGGAGAGCTCCCGGAAGCTACTATTAATATATATGTAGTTCCCCTCTAGTGACGTCATAAAACATGTTAGTTTTAGTGGAATTGCAAAATCCACAAACGTAGAAATAAAAATTGGAATGGTGCAAATTGAAGCTATCAGTGTCCCTAATACACTTAAAAAGTTTAAAAAACCTCATTACATTCCCTTTAAATTTGTAAAGATATAATACCTGGAGTTATTGACCTCTGACCAGTAATATCTAACTGATGTATTATCACCATATCATAAGACTCTAAATCACTTTCATCAAAATGTACCGAACATTTCTTTAACTTGATCAAACTACCTACAGACAACTGAAACATATAATAACTTTCATCAAAATATAAGCATAAGCTTACTTAACAACTTTCTAATTTGATCAAACCAACAGACAACTATGACAATCTATGATATTTAATAACATAATATGATTTAATCTCACTGAACACTCTATCGACAACAGAGAAATGTGCTTGAAGTATTATTTCTCAGAAATGCATAAAGACAAAATTCACTGAAAGCATGGTCAAGAAGTTTATTCAATTCTGATAATATGATTATGCCTCTGTATTTAGATCTAGATTCAATAAGCCGACACATACATTCTGTCTTCAATGTCAAGAATTCATTCCATTTCATTTTAACTTCACCAACTATTTCTCTCACCTGGTAGTTTTGAATCAAATGGTTTAATGATGGATGTAAAATATATTTCATTTGATTTGTAGAGTCAGACAAGGTTACATCAAATACATCAGAATATCTTGTAGTATCAATAGATGTTTGACTTTTAAACTCAGGATCTACTAAATATCTCTGTAATTTAATCACCTAAAATAATGAATTAAATAACACATTAGCCTATATGATATGAATATCAAACAAAGTTTTCATTGTGAACATGGTATGCAGGATAGAACTTACTCTGACATACTCAAAAGATGTGTTGTTTTCTTTCTACATTACTGATTGCATCATACAGTGTTAACAGTCATATTTAGCATTCTAAATTGGCAGAGCAGAGAGCCTCGATGGTTAGAAATGTTCCCATACACGACTAAGTCGTCTAGAACTGTAGAAGCAAAACAGAGGAGACTAAATAAACCGACAGTTTCAAATCGATAGATCAACGGGAAGGGAAAGGGGTCGAAACTGCAACAGTGCCCAAATAATAATGAAAAACAAATATATTACGATAAAATCTGTTGTGGAAAATGGTCTGTTATGCAATTCCTCATCTTTTATTGCATTTAAAACATTTTGGAAATTTTGACAGGTCGTATTTTCCGCCATGTTGAAAGTGAAACGGAAGTTTACGAGATATTTCGTACACTTTTCGAAAGGCAAATTGGTGAGACATTTCGTTTCAGCACTTTTCGTGCAATTTAAATCGTCTAACTTTGAAACTATTATTGAAGAAAAAAAATCAAGGAGATCAAACAAAATGTATGATTTTGTGATTTTACTATGTATTGCAATAAACTGTGGGTAATCACCCTTTGATTATTGTTGATATAAGACTGACATTCCCACAACGGCATTTCTAAGAAAAAACAATAAAATCCACATACGTACAGTGGTGTAGCCTATTTTCGTGCATATAAGGATTCAACACCGAATTTTGTCAAAGTTAAATTTTTCTAAAAAAACAGAAGGTAGGGAATTTGTTCACTGTCAAATTTGAGGTTCTCTGGGTGACAAAGCAGTCATTCATCGTGGTTTGCGATTGTTTTATCACGTTGTTTGTTGCATCCAAAGGTAGTTGGTAGCTAACAGCTACACCAACCCACAAAATAGAGCTAAGTTAGATTTCAGGGAATACTTATTTCAGGACTGGTGCCATGGCTATATACAGTATATTATATAACATGCAGTGTATGTTTGTGTGTGTGTCTCTTCAACTAAAATCATAATAGTGACAAACTAATTTATTAAACATATCTATTGTGCAGTGACATCTATTGCCAGTGCTTTCATTTTCATCGCCTCAATACACCCTAACACGAACTTAGTTGACCGCCATTTGAATCACTACGCCAGACAAAATCAGTCGACTTTTTTTGATGAAAATGTATTTATTTTTTTTTATTCTTGCAATATAGTTCGTGATCATTCTGGTAGCTCCGTCAAGCGCACAGTTTCATAGGGCCTAGTCGATGGAATTTCTTTTTGGGATCAACTCAGTTTCTGACCATTCTAGTCTACATCAGACGCATAGTTTCGTATGCACGAACTTATCATTAACACAGAATCGCTGAGACAAATCGCTCCAGTCAGAGCTAAGTTAAGCTATTATGTATGTTACTGCGATTTAGTAGCTAAATTAGAAGAGAATTACCAGTAGAATTCCTATGAGTGACCGATCAAGAAAGGTCAAAAAGTCTTTTTGTTTATCCAGACTGTACATACATTGCCATTTATGATTGGTTCAAACTCTAAAATATATGCAATAAGAACATAATGATATGATTAAGAATACATGATAATTCATAAGAAACACCAATTAATAAAAAAAAGTTTGCTTAATTTGACACTAAAAAATAAGGACACCCATCTTTAACACTGACGTAATGAAATATTAAAGGGAATGTTGAATAAAATCGATCATCTGACATCTCTTTGTGTGTTAAAATACTGATTGTCTTATTTTCAGAATGCTCTATTCCCATGGGTTCTGAATGTACTCAAATTATTCTGTAGATCCATTCAATTCATTAGACATCAATAAAAGTTCAAGGCTTATATGAATATTCTATATCCCGACAATAAATAATTACTTAAAGTATGATGTGGTAAGAATGAAAAAAAAAATTCTGCCTCAGTACAGCAAATTGATTAAAACGTCAGAGTTTTTTGGATTTTTCACTGCATCGTTAATCCAGGCGCGGCATCCCCCATTGCAACAGTAATTCCAACACGAACTCGGTAACCCCGATACAGACACAACTGAACAAGTAAACCCGACAGTGCTCTTCCAGGACGGGCTCCCAACTGCATCAATAATCTCATCATGGATTTTTCCAGTGAACGGACTCCCCGCTGCTCCCCCGGAACGGGACACTTTGCAGTCCTAGCAATGACTCTCCACTGAACCAGTGATTCCGACAAGAACTCCCCACTGAACCAGTGGCTCCGACAAAGAACTCCCCGCTGAACCAGTAATTCCGACAAGGACTCCCCACTGAACCAGTGATTCAGACACGGATCTCGAACTGAACCAGTGATTCAGACAAAGACCCCCAACCAAACCAGTGATTCAGACAAGGAGTCCCCACTGAACCAATGATTCCGACAAGGACTCCCCACTGAACCAGTGATTCAGAGAAGGAGTCCACACTGAACCAGTGATTCCGACACAGATCTCAAACTGAATCAGTGCTTCAGACACAGACTCTCTTGTGGATTCTGAAGAGGTTTTCAAAATTCCAAAAGAGGAAAAACGGTATTGTTTTTTTTTCAAGAAGCTTTAATTTGTAAAATCAATGATTTCCAGTTTTATATCTTCACTTTTTTTTCAGTTCATTGATTGAGTAATCTAAGAAAGTTTCTATTCACTTGATTGTGCTATAAAATTTCCATATTATATTCGTCCCTATTAACATGGGTTGTATCAGGACTTTCAGAATGAAAACTTTAACGTTCGGTTCGTCTACAGTAACTTAAAAGACGTAATTGAGTATGGTCCAATTTCAGGGACTATTTTGTGATTCTCTGGTCATGACGACTTTGATTATATTCTTTTTATACTGATACGAGCCCAACGTTAGATTTGTATTCTGGAAAGTGTTACGGGTAGTTGAACTAAGTTGATAAAGCGAAATATGTTGGCGATTACATATTTCTCCATATTTATGTTGGCCTACTCTGAGTTTTTAATATATTTATGGTATTCCTCCAGAATTCGATCTTCAGAAACTGTATCGTATGGACCAGTCATTACATCCAACAGCAAATCTGGTAATTTTATCACCATGTCTCTTGTCTGGTTTAACCCCGACTGCATAAAAGTCACACTGGAGTCTACATGGTTGATGGTTCGCCCTAAGTAGTTGTTTCCTATCTTCCTAGTCAATGTCTCCATTTCCTTGAGAGCAAACTCTTTCAAATTCATGACTTCAGCGGCAGATCTCGACGCATTCATCTTCTTGAAATACGACTCAAATTTGGTTGGTAAGTTTGAATCTATCGTCTCAGTAGTGCCCATTGACGTCATCAAGAATACTCTGGACATGATCGGTAACTCCAAATGGACCCCAAGTTGATTTCTGTTGACTAAATAACCAACTATGAAAGGTAACCGTTTAAGAAGTTTTCTGATTGTTTGAACCCGCTCATCCAATATGGCGGTCAGTTCTTCGCTTCTGACTTTGGTATCTTCTAAGGCTTTCAATGTCAAATATCCAGCCATACGAATCGTTTCAAGTTGTCTTTGACGCTCCATGATGACTTCTATATCAGTAAGATTTGGCTTGGATGTTGATACAACTTCCTGATCAGGTTTGCCAAATTCTGGCACTTTCTTAGCAGACTCCTTTTCAGCTCTGGAAACCACTCCCAAGGTCAGACACAGAAACACCAAAACATACATCTTTGGCATATTAACGATAGGAAAAAAGAATTCAGTTAAATCCAAAAACAACCGATAAAGTAAAACGAGTCAGAGAGTCAAAAATTGTAGACAGAATTCACCAACTGACAAGGCTTTGTACTAGGAAACATTATATAGCTAATATTAGCCTAGCTAACTCGGAAAAGATAAGCCTGGAAGCGTTATCATAATAAAAATTTGAATAATAAGCTGATAAATTCTCGAGAAATAAATATATCTTGATGACTGATAGTCTATTTTTTTTTTTAAATAAAAAATTATTTATCTTTCTTTTTTGTAATTCAATAATTAACAATGTAGTAAAGATTAGCCTTTTGTAATTAAAGGTGAACAGTCGGCATTTTCTGGAATTGAATTTGGTCTTTCTTGTGCATTAATAGTACTAAGAAGTACAAAAACGCGGACTTTAAGGCTCAAATTTTGACGATGAGTTGTGAACACTAGGCTATTACTGATTATGTAAGCTAAAAAAAATTCCTGTTTCTGGAACTAAGGTATGATTAGTGGAATAGATAGTGAAGGTGCTCCTTTCATTCTAAAATACATTATGCATGTGTAAGCCAGGTTTTATTATTATTCTAAAGAGTTGACCGATCAACATAATTGTAATTTTAACATGCGAAACATCTGGTAAATACACAGATACCGTTACGTATAGTTCGTATAAAGAAAGTTTGGGATTTTCAAATGGTTCATCACTTGTCATGATTTGAGTTAGGGCGAGAAAAGAAGCAGGATTTTGGGAAAACCCGATCGTCGTGAGTCGTGAGTCTGCATTATAGACACTCTGAAGTAACCATCTGTACCAAAACAACAAATCTGTTCCTACCCGTTCCTTGGACGTGATATACAGATAAAATATCGGGATGTTTAGAGCTAGACATAACAGATGCTCTTACCTACCGATGGGTCGCTAGTTTTTGAGAATTTTCACCATGTTAAGACCATCACGACCTTGTCGGATATTCTATAAATTTAATGTCCCACACGGATCCAGCACAATATTTACTGACCTTACATTCGTGACATCAACATCATGGTTATTATATGTTCAATAACTGCTAGGAAACTAAGGCAGGGTGCTCAAAACTATGCATGACAACAATCTGCGAAATATGCTAGAAACATTTAATTTAATGGATATGTCTTATAAAGAGATTTTATTCTTAAGTCGTGGCACCTGGTAAGTCTAACTGATGAATATGTCTTATATAGAGATTCTATTCTTTAGTCATGACGCCTGGTAAGTCTAACCGATGAATATATACACTTGTTAACCAAGTTTGAGAGTAAGCAGCTTAAACTTATTCTCAAACCACTTGGTATTTGTTTCTTACTTCATCACCTAGACCAGTGCCTTAACGGGAATATTATTGTCATCTCACTCTAACTCAAACACTCATTCCATTGAAGATCTCGTTAACCCCATAGAAAAGGTTTCTGTATCTACAACGACCAAATGCAAAGGGAATGTTTCTGGATAGATCAATTACAATCAGTTGTACCTAACGGCCTAAATATACAGCATGACCATCAAATCATACCTTTCGTTGCCACCTACAATTCTACAGCTAAAAATGCCTCTGTGATTGTCGAACGCTTTAATAAAAAAACTTCAGGACGAATTCCCTAACATCTATACTAAACGTCTGGTGACTGCTTACAAATGGAATAAAAATCTGAGTAATGTTCTTGTCCATGGTAGATAAGATCCCCTTTCATTAACTCCCTGAAACAATCGCTTTGCATTTCTGAATTATTTGTTTATCTTGTAAATCTATCCAGAAGTAGGTAATTTCCTATCAAATTGATTGTGAAAGAGAATGGTTCAGGTTTCTCCAGAACGACCATGTTTTCCTGCAATCGAACGTTGTGTTAGGGAGTAATGATTCTTCCGTTGTAGACGATTTATACCTTTCTACAGAATTGAGGTAACACTTACCACAGGTACTAGTTTGATTAGAAAGAGATGTTGGAATTTTTTATGTCGATCCAAAACACCATCACAGGAACCTAATGTCTACGAGAATCATCTGGTAGTGAAAAGGGAATTGATCAGCCCCATGGGACACAAAGGCGACCTATAACCACTTGCCGTTAATCATTAAACTTTCCAAAACTGAACTTTCCAAATGTTCGTCAATTGATCTTTCGAACTATCTTACCGATGGACCCATTAAAATTGAAACCATGACGGTATATACCAAAATAGACTAAAAAGAGAAAATAAAAATATGGTAGAAGACATTCTGGCAGAGATTATCAACAACCTAAATTTGTCTGACATTCCAGAAGTTTTAGACTTTGATTTTCAGATAGAATAGGGACACTACATCACAAGAAAGGTATCATTATTTTTCCTTACATCAAATTCATTTTCTGAAATTCCTTTGCTTCAACAATGCCTCTATTTTTGTTCGTTGCTATAACTAACGGCTGGTACTCACTACCAGTTTGATGCCATGGAGAATAAGAGAAGGGAATCAAGTAGAAAAAAAATATCCTAGCAGATTCTCCTGATATTACTTTATTTATATAGACAAGATGAGTTTTTGAGTTCTTTTGGAAATTTTATCATTAAGGCTTCAAAGAATATTAAAATTATTTTTGAAATTATTTTTGCAAATGGAAAGAAATGGTGAAAAAAAAGTTGTCATAGGCCTATTCAATATTCATTATCATATTCTCCCGTAATGTATTTTTTTTTTTTAATTTCAAAATATACAGTTTGTATCTATCTTCTATGTAAATGGGGCTATTTACGACTACGAATGGAAGAAGCGGGCCTAATTTTAGAAGTAATAAGAGATGAGATCAGATCAGCTCTCTATTTCAACTCACTGGTACGCACCTCCAGTTTGATTCTGAGGAGATGTTGGAGTATTTCAGGCCAATCTCATCAACACATTGTCGACCTCTGAAAACTTATCTGCATTTATACAGATGTTTCTATCTATCTTCCATTATAGAGTCATTACGACTGCGGATGGAAGAAGCGGACCTTACTTTGGAAGCAGCAAGAGTTGACATCAGCTCGCTGCTCCAACTAACGGCTGATTCTCACTACCAGTATGATTCAGAAGTGGTGTTGGAGGTTCTGGTAAGGTTGATATCATCTCTAAAGAATTACAAATGGAAACAACAAAAAGAAAATGCCAATATTCAATTATTTAATTTGGTGAACTAAATGGTAAAAGACTTGATCTTACAAGAAACAAACCAATATTGTTACGGAACCAGCATTTGTAAACCACCAGAATGAAAGTAGCACGAGTTAAACCACTTTCATTCCGAAGAGATGTTGGAGTTTCTGGAATCTATCCAAAAACAAATCACAAGAACCCAATGTCTACTTCAGCAATCAGCATTTTAATACACCAGCATCACCATGCAGAGCCAAACATGATTTTGGGAAAAGATGATTTAAATTCTATGGAAGACCTCTGAAAAGTTGAAAAAGAAAAATTCCTCTGCACCTAGTAGTGATACACAAGAAAAGGAATTGAGCAGCCTTTCAAGAGAACAGAATGACACTGTTAGGCTAAAAGTTCATCAAGAATTTGTTGAATGAGAAATAATAAGATGAGAGCGTAACGCTGTCTTGGTTTAGAACCAAGAGGAAAAGAAGAACATTAAATTAAAGGGATTGTAAAGAGGTCTGTGGTTCTGGCAATTCCACCAAAAACTAACGCTTTTTATGACGTCACTGGAGGGGAGCTATCGGAAGCTACTATTAAAATCTAGATGCAGTTTCCCTCAAGTGACGTCATAGTATAATTGCAAGAATCACAGACGTTGGAATGAAAATTGGAATGGTACAAATTGATGCTATCAGTGTCCCAGATACACATAACAAGTTTCGAAAACCTCTTCAACCCCTTTTAAAAAATAAATCATTTCCTTACAAATTTTAATTTCAAGGGAAGTAACTTGTACCATAATTTTCTTATATTCTAAAGTAGGTCAAAATGATTCAGCTATTTTACTATGCCTATCCTGCCATGTTGTTGCTACGCTTACAGGATTATGCCCAAGCATAATGCCATAATATAAGATCCTATAAGCCATAATATGCGGTTCGAGATATTTGCCACGAGTGGTAAATAGCAAAAAGTCATTCAAATGGCTATATGCCACGCGTGGTAAAAATTAAAATTGCATAAAATGAGTCTGTTTGAATATAGTATGTTTCGGGCATGAAATTGAAAGATTTTATTGTGAAGACCAAACAAATATTTCATAAAATAAACGGCTTAAAACAAGATTTTTCAAACTCTAAAACGAAAGTAGGATTTCCAAGGTCAGGGTCAGTTTAGAGCTCGAGGACACGTTGTAATGTTTATGAACCAACCATGTAGAAATGACTGGGCCTTATGAAATTTAGTATGCCATCATGATCCTTTGTAGTGCGATGCAATACTCTTCATATAACGTGATACTCGGTTAGTGTTTAGTGACTCTAGATAGATATTAATGACTATAGGTGATATTCAGTTAGTGTTTAGTGACTATAGGTAGATATTTATGACTATGTGATACTCGGTTAGTGTTATCAGTTATCTCCCTTAAAGTTCCCTGCCTCTTGATCAAAAGTATAAAACACGTGAACTCTGAGAAAATTACTCATTCATTGATTGACTTGTGTCTTGCTACTTGAATAAGTTTCATTTAAATAAGGACAAATAATACAAATACCTATTTGATATTTTGACTGCTTCTGAAAAGCTGCCTTGGGAATGAAGACTTCTAACATCAAGTATATTTCCACGATGTCAAATTCAATACGTGCAGAATTAGAATCCCTATTCAAAATAGGGTCCATATTTGCATCATGGGATGAACTCAGTACACACTTAGAGGAATTCAAAGTTTACGGAGTGGTTTATTCTATCCATAGAGGTACCAAATTGAATTTTGCACACCCATGTAAATATTATGAGGTAGAACTTAGGTGTAAATTTGGTGTGAGGGTTAGAAATAAGGCGTCA